TAAAAAAATGATATAAAATATTAAAAGTCTTTTTGTGCAAGCTTGGCTAGATGAAAAGCTTATTAGATAAAAATCTCAATATTTTTTTGAGATGTAGATTCTATTACCTTACTATTAACACATATCAATAATTTCTTTATTACTAGGAATAATACTCCAAAAATGATTATATAAAAAGATGAAATCTATCAATATTTTAATATAAAAGAGCTTAGATCAATCAAATGTTATCTAAAAATAGAATATAAAATTAACATCTTTGATATTATTATATACTAAAAAAGTTATTATTAAGAAATCTTATCTAAAATTTTAGATGGATAAATATAAGTTGGCATTTATTCCACATCAGTGAGAATTAGTCTTACAATCAATTCTTCATTTCTTATAATCAATCTGGAATTATATTACTACATGGTTGATAAGCTTATTTATTTAATAAATACTTATCCAAATATATTATTTATTATAGAATTAATCAGCTGCTTCATGTATGTACCATACAAAAATCATCTCTAAATAATTCTATAGAATTTTAAATATATTAAACATGCAATTGACTATAAGATTATTTATAAACAAAATATCTCTTGTTAATTATATTTTTTTAGTAATGCCAATTGAGTTTCCTATCCAATGACTTAATATTCCATAGATAATTACTTCTATATTCTTGGTGGTAGTTTTGTCTCATAAAATAGCACATGGCAACCAACAACTCCTAGATCCTCCTCTAAATCTAAATACATGGTTCTTTTTAATAACATTTAAGAATCAATACATATTTTCTTTTCACTTCTTAAAATTAACTTGGCTCCTACCAATATTCTTCTTTTTTACTATAAAAATATTAGAATCTTTTCTAATCTCTTTTTGTTGCAACTTAGTATATATTACAATAATTAAGGAACTATCAAATTGACTAAAAATTTTACCTTTTACACATGCATAAAATACATGAAGGTTCACTACCATTTTATCCATAAGTAAGTCTTTGAAGTCAAAGTAAAATTTAATTATATATTTATTGAAGAGCAATTAGCAAATATACTAACCAAGTTTTTTTTACTGTTCTAAATTCAAAGAATATCGTATTGCTATAGAAAAAAACTCAATCTACCATCACTCTCTATATTTGATTTATGCCACATAATAGATTTAAACTTAGAAGTAAGAGAGGGTGTTGTGATAATACTCCAAATTATATATCCTTCTATTCAATCTAATAAGCCAAATTTATTATATATGCTACTATCTTAGTATTTGTCTTTATATTTTAAAAGAAATTATTATTAATTCACTTATAATTGAAGCCTTTAATGCTTTTTGGATTAAATCAAAACTATAGATCAATTTTCTTATTAGATGCACTAACACCAATATTTAATAGGAAAATATTTTCTTGTAAATCTATTTGATCACCTTTCAATAAAGTTCTTCAATCTTTACTTGTTCAATAAATAGATTATAAGATCTTTTAGTCAAAAAGTAAAAATACAATGTAGGCTTAGCATTTTGAATGAGACCTTGGTAATACCTAAAAAATTGGAATTAATTATGGTTCTCAATTGTCAATTTTGAATATTCTAATTTTCTTGATTTTAGATGAACTCCTATTTCTTATGCCTTATTGTTGTTTATATTCCAATGACTTCACAACCATATATCAACTAAGGTATATATGTTTAAATTGACACCATTTTATGCACATTCATCTCAACTATAGCTCTTGTTATTTTATACAAAAATTATTTTTTCTAATTGTCTCTAAGTATATTTATCGATAAATTTATTTTTTTGTAAACTAAAGAAAGAGGCAATTGCATAGTGTTGTTGCTTAATTTATGCTTCAACAATTGCATTCTTCTCCACGGCCATTATTAAAATATTTCATTTATTTTAGTCTAATAGGTGCTATAATAATATAAACTTCTAAAAATATAAAAAATTATTTAATGGTAGAATTGTTGATTCTTTTATTTAGTTATCGACACTAATGACAATAAGAGTGTTTCAATATGACAATTCTATTTTCAACCTTCAAAACATATATTATAATGTTTACTTTAATTACAAAATCCTTATGCTAATAACTAATTTATGAATTAGATTCAATTTATAAGAATAAATGAAGCTAATTGCATGTTTCTTTTTTATTCTAAAGAGGCTTTCTCAACTTGCAATGGGATCCAAAAGAACTTCATTTCACATCTATATAAAGGTCTAATAGAAGTGAGTCAATTTTTATATTTCAACAAACAGCTTGAAAGTTTACATAGAAAATAGAAATCTTATTTTTTTTTTTTAATTATGCTACAGACATGATACAAGATGTCTTTTAAATATCATCATAAGATATTTTTAGATGACATATTTGAAATTTCATAAAATATAGAAGTTACTCATTTATCTCTTATAGGCTAAAATTACTCACATTGCCTTCTTTGACGACATACTATCTTGGTCTATAATTAATGGCAAAGAAAAAATAATTTATTTTTATAACGTTTATAAATTATATTTATTAATTAATTTTATTAGATTAAATATTTTATTAGAAGGGCATTGTACTTATATCCTTTTACCTAATGTATTCCTAAGTCCTTATAATGTATATTAAATCACAACTTGCTTGTAATGTTTTTTTAATATATATTTTTAAATAAAATTTTGTCTTTTATTTATTTTGAGATCTAAACCCATAATATATTTTCATTCTTAAAAAAATATATAAAAAAAAAATAGATAGTTATGAAATTTTTAAATATGGCTTTTTTTTCTTTATGGCTATAGTACCTAGCTTAAGATCTAGCATGGAAGAAGGCTTTATATAATAAGCTCTTTTAAAAGGTGGACCAACTAGAATATTAGAATATAAACCACTAGCATGACTTTATAAGATGGATGGAAAATAAATAAGATAAAAAAATGAGAACTATCATGTTAATGTTTTTTTAAAATAATAATAATAATAATAGAGGAGCAACTTTAGTTGTTTTAGGATCTGTTATATAAATCAGCTCAAGAGATAATTAATCAAGAAAAAATGGTATTCTGATTTATTGCGTGGATTTGTCTTTGTTTTTATCAAAAGTAAAATGCAAAAGTGTAGCAGACGCTGGTAAGGTACATATATCCCTCAATCACTGTTTCCATACTTGTAATTTATATTTTTGATTTGTTGAACTGATGTATTTTGATTGTGGTATGGCAGATCTGTATTTTCGATATTGATTTGATATGTGCCACAAGTAACAAAGGAGCAACTTGCTACTCTCTTCATCAATGTCATTATACATTCATTTTATGGCATCCATGCATTGTATTTGACCTTTATAAACAGAATTTGTGAGTGCATTTTAGGATTTTATTTTATTTCATTTTAGGATTGAGAACATTGGCATGATTGATGTGAGTGAGTCAAGGCCAAGACACACTTCTATGAATCAAATAGGCAATGATGAAGCTCCTTCACTGCAAGTTTTCTATGAAAAGAACTTAATTGTTAGTATCCATGTCCATCTATATCAATCTAAGAAGTAGCACAAGGATTTGGCACCTCAATGATCAAAAAAGCTTCTTCTTCTTCTTCTTTATAGTTGGACAGATTCAAGTCATGAGCTGTGCAAATGTGGTGGTGGGTGTAGTTCACAATTTGGCCATTGTTGGCACATTTCATTGATCTTTAGAGTAGTAAAGGATTAGTGGATGTTTAGCTTGGCAATGTTGTGCTTGTTGAATTGACACGTCACTACTTTAACTACCATGTTTTTGAACCATTTCTTAACTATATAAATTATAAGCAATGGCTCCAATTTCTATTATGATAAATTTGTTTTAAAATAAATAAATATTTTTGGTACTATTTGCAAAATTTCCACCTATTTTGATATTATAGTTAATTAATAAAGTTAATTCTCAAATACCAAATACTTAAATTTGTGAAAATGATAAAATTTCTTTGCAAGAACTAAAAATGTAAATAATGTGTTGAATGTTTGTGATGTTTCTAAAATATCAAGAAATATTTTCATATATAGGTTTGAAAACTTGTTGAAAAATCCACAGGTATCTATATCAGTTTGATATGCTTAGTAAGTTTAATTCCTGAAATTCAATTTTAAAGTGTTTTTTGAATTAAAAAAAAGGTAATATGAATGATATTACTTCCATGTTTCTGATAAAAGAAGTCTATCTTGTTGACACTAATAATGAAAGAAATGAGAACAAGTTATTAATTAACATTTTTTTAGATCATCAATAATCACATGTTATTTATTGAAAATATGTAAATAGATAAATAAAGTAGATTCAATTGTTTTACATATGCAGTTATGTATGTCAAGCCCATGACTTGATTTGTAAAAGGTAAATTATCTCTTATAATATTTCTTCAATCTACCAATTTTTTTTTGTTTCTATACCTAGTTGTTATATTAATAAAGAATCAGTTTTGAAGAACGTGATTGCAGAATATTCCTACTAATGTGCAAGGTAAAATGCTTAAGAAGCTGAGATCCTAATATTGACAAATTGAACTTTTTGAAAATCCGTGTCAGAAATCTGTGACAACAGCACAACTTCAGCTGGTGGTATGTTTGTCAAATGGTTGAATTTTGAATTGGAGATGATGGTTACATGATGTGGGTGGAAACACGTTTGCTGTATTTTTTAAACAAAACTTGAAAACCTATTTTGATGGAAATTAATTTACTCCTTAGTTACATTCTTCACAATTCTATTACTTGTGTTGAAAAATAGAATATACAATTAACGTACTTTGAATCCTTGTCATATTTGATAAAACAAGCTCTTGATTAAGTTGAAAAAATCTAAAAGTAAGTCAATATATTGTGAATTTTGCCCTCATATTTCCTCTCCCTGTGAGTTCCGTCCTTTCTAAATAGAGATTAGGAATGAAAGAGTTTGTTGGTTTCTACACACTTAGGGACATAACATGTGTATTACGACCTTGATAAGTCAAAACAGTTGACAAAGCATTTCAAAGTAAATGTAATTTACACCTCTTGCAATTCCACTATTAGCTTCTTTCAAAAATAAGAGAAAGTGCAACGGATGAAACTAAAATAAAATAATTTGAGACGATGCTACAATGCTGGCAGTTTCAGCGTAAGTTGCTATATTTTAGACGTTTTGAATGCTTCCAATTAATACGTTTACATATTTGTGAAGCTGCGATGACCAGACCTGCAATTCTTATATCACCCATAAATTACGGTATAGTTATTGATAGAAATTCTTTCAGAACAGGCTAATTAATCTGCTATTGGACTGAATGCAAATAATGCTAACGAATGAGAGTATCGGAAACTAAGAGGATGACAATCATCCAAATTTGTGCACCATTTCTTTCTCCATACGCACATCGATTAGTAGACTCTTCGAGATTGCACGACGATAAAACACTTTGAATATGAAATACAGCCGGTCACCACCGCTGCCATTGCTCTACATCAGCTCCCTCATCAAAACCACTTGTAGAACCCATGACCTGCATATCCATCTGCTTGGTGTACTTATCCTTCCTTCGCTTATCAAATTCAGGCCAAGCATCCATCTGCAGAAACAACATTCACAATGAGTATCCTTAACCGTGAACGTAGGCATCGGCAATCAAACGAATTAGAACTAAATAGTTGACAAGGTCCCAAGGGCCTGTCATATCGTACAATCAACAAGCAGGTATGCAAAACTTCAACTGATATGAGAAAATTGACTAAAAGTGTCTTCTTCGACGGAGTATGCAAAGGGGTGATATCCCTACCTCACGAAGATCATCCATTGTGATTTCATTCGAATGCAACGATAGGGTTTGCAGCTGAGAGCACTTCTGTAAAATCTCTGAAGGGAAATCCTTCAACTGATTGCTATCTAAAAGCAGCCTCTGTTCACAGACCGAACATTAGAACAGTACCACCTATCAAAAAATCGATTATGCAACTAGGGTCACAGAGTCCACACAGGTTAAGAGTAATTGACCATGACAAAACTATAGAGAACATATAACGATCGGCCTTGAAAACTAGAACTCGGGCACCCAAATCCATACAAAGTGTAGTTTCCATACAGTATGCACCATATACTCATCCTGTGTGAGGTGACTTACATTTTCATGCAATTTTTGCAGTGACCCTTCCAAACTAAAATGAAGTTACCATAAGAAAACTGGAGCATAAGATAAGAGATTTGCCTTCAAAAACGAAATCTGGCTCCAGGATGCAGGAATCGACTTTAACCTATTTCTAGTGAGGTTTATCTGCATCAAAAAATGGTAGAAAATTATATCGCTCAGTCTATCATAATCCCGATTACATGATTGTAAATGGAAAAACACAATACAACATTGCAGCAAACTAACGTAAACCTAGCTTATTCACCTCTGAAATCTTGGTACAACTGCCGAGGCTTGAAGGCACTTCCTCAAGACTGCACATTGAACCATCACCAAGACTAGTCAACGGAAATAAAGAGCATAGATTAATTCTATATTCAGCAAAACAAGCTGTGTCTATTCAGTTGTAAACTCAGCGTAACAGTAAATTCTTATGGGGATGCTTAGAATGCAAGCTTATTCCATAACACTCACCAATTATAACTCAGATCGAGCGTTTCAAGCGACACTAAGTTGCCGATGTCACTAGGAACGGATGTCAGTTTATTGTGAGAAACACTCAAGCACCTCAAAGACGTGAGAAGTCCGATCTCTGGAGGGATGGTGCTCAGTCTGTCATACAGATTTCACAAACTAGAATCAGCAATCGTCATTGTGATCGTTCAGGTATACAATAAGGCCAAAGAGTAAGCACAACGACCATCAACAGCTCATTGATAAGCCACACAATCATAGCCCATCACTTGTGTCGATAGCAACATGTACAGCATCGAGCATTGAATGTCGACAAAGAACACAGAATGTGCATCATTCCTCTGGCAATGAGCAATATTTAATTCCTCAGAACATAAAAGGAATGAAAAAACATGAAAAGAAGTTGAAGAAAATGAAGATACTGACAGGTTATGATCAATAGCCAGCACAGCTAGCCGGCTCAGTAACAAGAAGCTTTGCCAACTAATGCTGTCACTTTTCAACTGGTTGCCACTCAAACGCAATCTCTACAGACCCACCAAGATCGTATCATAACGAACCCCAGATGCGAAACCAGCAACTGGCGGCATCCACTCCTCTATCCACAAGAATGGGCAAGTAAGAGGAGATTTTGAAGCCGTGCAAATGACGACTACAAAAAAGAAAAAATATGTACGAAAACAGGAACGACCTTCGTCAAGTTTTCATGCAATAGAGATGAGGAAAGCAATGAAATTCATTAAGATGAAAAATCGCGACAAATCACCCCATCGAGGACATGACCATCGTTGCGTTGTAAAATAAAATGCTTCAAATGTGAAACCAACTTATTTAACGTAACAAGCGTTGCAGACTTGGAACAAACATTGAAATTAGGTTGCAAACCTGTATATTTGTCAAGCTCTTGACATTGGAAGGAAAGGCCGATAAGCAGTTTCCACCAACATCCATCACCCGCACAGCAGACTGGAGATCCCAAACAGTAATAGGAACTTCCTATCCATCCCTTGCATCCAGTCACACCCAAGGATCAGCTGATTCTGAGCAGTTAAAATAAGTCTGGTTAATCGACAAAATGAACCAAGGACAATGTGTTGAACGATGGCATGCCTCTTCGGGTACGAATAGACTGAGACAGTATTGAACGGAAGGAATGAGAACTTGTCCAAGTCTATGGGCATATTGAGACTGGCAAGTTGACGTAAGTTAGTGCCTTTCACGAAACTAATTAAAACAAGAAAAAATCCACGGCACCTCGAAAAGAAAAGAAAAAGTATTCCTGGCCTCTTCAAAAGCTACAGCACTAGGCACACGAATAATTTAGTTAGTAACTACACAGGGAGCAATGTCATCTAAAAATTAGCGGATAAGAAAATTCATACGATTGTACTCGTTTGTGAACACATTCTCAAAAATAAATCGTAAAGAATAGAATGCAGTACAAAAAGGATAGTGGGATCGGGTCTACATACCTGTAACCCACTATCTCGAAGAGAAACTACACCAGTCTGCTTCCAAGCCTTTAATCTGCTCTCGTCAAATCCGGTGGACTTCACAGGAATCTGCTTGAATGGAGTGGACCTCTTAGGAGGTGATGACTTCCTTTTTATTGGTGATGAACTCCTCACTGGAAACTGAAGCCATACAGCACAGGAACATGATCTACGTTTATTGAATACACTAAGAACATCTTTCTTCAGAAAAACGTTTCACGGCACGGCCTGCGTCTTAAGGGCTTTAATGTACTACTCAACGAAGTAAGCAATAGCAGGTCTCGAATAAAGGAGAATATTAAACCAGTAGCTTCCTGCAACTGAAGCTAGAAACAAAGCTCTGGAAGTAAACAAACTGCAAAAAGAAGCTCATATATTTGCCCATATACATGCAAAGAAAGGGGAACTCTTTGTACTGCGAAGACGTGTTATATTGAGAGTCCTCATACTAATGAGTATTATTGTGTAAGTAACCTCCATGCACAACAAATGGATAGTATACATAGAGCATACCTGACTCTGGAAACCTGCCGCAGCCATCAGCATAATCTTAGAGCCATTTGTTAATTGCGCGTTCTTTAATGTTAAATCGGGTGTCAACACTTTACCTGGAAGAAATCCACAGTGAAATCATCCTATTTAGATGAAGCAAAACAGTCCGTGGTGAACGAACACAATTCTAGCACATGCTTGAAAATTTGGCCAGGATAATTGGCTATAAAAATGCAGAAATCAATTCATGCAGTAACTCGTTACAAAGGTGAAAATTGACACGACCATTCATAGTGGATGGTTCTGAACAGCTAATAGTTATGCTTACGATTTTATTTTTTATTTAATTAGTTTAAAAAAGCCTCCTCAATTGATGATCTCATGACAGAGAACCTAATGATAAAACCAAACCAACCTTGTTGCCATGTTCCGAACTGAAATTTCAATTGCAACTCTATGACGATTTGCCAGCTCCTCTATACTGAAAGAAAAACTCCATATTAAAGTCCCGCTTCAAGAACACACAGAGAAAATCCACTCTGCAAAGACCTTCGATACTTCACCTTTAAAGATAAGCTTCTGAACGCGAGGCAACACATCCGTAGCCGTCTGTAGCTGCAGCATCATATCGCTCACTTTGGATGACGCCGGCAGCGATAGTGCAATACTCTTCGCTCCAAATTTGATCGTAAGACTCATAATCTCACTCGATGTATCCATCTCGTAACTATTTCCTCTAATCCACCCCGCCCAGACTTATAAAACAAGCCAATCTTCAGCAGCACAATGACCACTACAGAGCCTGTTGTCGAATTGAAGCGAATGGCTGTCGAAACCAAAACACGAAGTAGCTTGATACTTCGGTCTGAAACCCTAAAACCGTGCGCCATGAAACCTTGTGAGGTCGCGAAGAATGTAGAACAAGGGAAACTTAGGCATGGATATGAAAGGCTGGTTTCACGGGGCAGTGTGAACAGGGTTTTCGGAGTCAGCGGTGTGAATGCGAACTGCATGAGGAACTCCACAAATTTGGATTTCTGAATGGACAAATTTTATAGAAGGGTGTATTCAACTCTTTTTTCGTGAAAAATGTTTGTACGTAATCTCATATTTTTTCTGTATGATGTAATTTCGTAGAAACACCTTAATATACTCACCTCGTTAAGCATTAAATTAATATAAATGTGGGGCAAAATCTAACTTAATGTCTAGTGATAATATGAGATTTTAAGAACATTTAGTAAAAATCCTTCTGTAATTTATTTATTTTTCCTTTATTCATTCACTCAAAGACATTTATAGATATATATATATATATATATATATATATTTGATGAATCAAACCCACAAATAACATTACTAAAAAAATTACCAAAATAACACCATGTTATTGCTCTCACATTACAAAATAAAAATTGTTCATACAATAACATATTTTTAGATACGAGCCTTAAACATATATTAGTATTATGAATTAAATTATATAATGTAAAATAAATGTGAATTCTAAAATAAATTTACATTACTATATTTAAATGTAAATGGGATTGGATACACACAAGAGATTGACAACAGTGTATATCATGCATGACATTTACATTAATATACTTTTTGTAATCATATATGAAAAGGTAAAACAATCTAAACACTTAGAAAATAAAAAATTATTATAAATTAGCCATCTGAGAATGCTCATTAAATTTAAGAGTTAAAATTTTAAAAAGCTTTGTAATATTCAAATTTACATCTAAAATAAACCACTTCTTTAATTGACAGGTCACCAAGACTACATACATACATACATACATACATATATACATACTCCACAAATAAAGGTTTAAGGACCAAAATTTGTTAGTGCATGCATTCTGTTGAACAAAACTTGGGATACATACCACTGCTAGTTTTTTTTTTTTTTTTTTTTTTTTTTTTTTTTTGTCAAAACGTGTTTTCCACAATTATTATATTACTATTATTATGACCAACATAAATTTCTGTTATCTTTATTCATGAAATAACTTTCACTGGATTGCAATGAGTGCTCATTAATTTGATCTCAGAACATTTCTAAATAAACTTAAATGAAGTTATGATAACAAAAATCATGTCAAAACTTAATTTATTGAATTCACATAACAAAACTATTTATTTAGCACATAGCAACAAAAAGTAAAATATTTTTTTAAAACAAGTGCAATCGTTCATTATACCAAATTTAAAAATTGGAAATGAACAGTTATATAATATTCACTTTCATCACACAACATTACTTACAGCAACAACAGCAACAACACTCAACTGAACCTTACTCAGACAGACAGACAGCCAAACAAACAATCAAACAAACAAACAAGGCAAACTTGTGAACGACACCCACATGGAAGCCAGTCACAATGCCTTGCAATAGGGCCATGACCTCACAAACCCCAGCATTGAATGCAGTGGAGCCTGGCTTTGTTGTGTGGTTGACATGGCATTTAACTTACCCAAGTCAGTTATTGTTGCCCCCCTTTGCCTTCATGACTAAAAATGCATGCTGCAATTGCTCATAAGGGGTGGGGGTGGGAGTTCATCTGACATCTAAGTGTGTGTATGTGTGTGTGTGAGTTTTGAAACTCTCCCACACACAAGAGAAGCTGTGAGTGACTATGCCCTTCCTTGGGTCTTGTGAAACGCTCACCAAAGCTTGAGGTTTTAGGTCACACATGGTGAAATGGGTTGGTGCCCAGTGGCTCCAACTAGGAACTTAGTTTAGTGTTGGGATTGTGTGGTGAGCATTTCATGAAGATTGCTTTAGAAAGAGGAGGTGCTATTTTTTTATGTGTTTTTGGAAAACTGTTTTTAAAATTTTAAAATTTTTGTTTTGTGTTCTATTAGTTTCCGGTGAGTTGGAATCACTATAGATGATAAATGGTGGGAGTGGTGATACTATTAAGTGCAATTAGGGTATATAATAAAGTGGTGGTATTTTAAGGTTTTTAGATATGAGTAGGATTTTTACATCTAGTCTTGAATAACTAGCCAATTATGTTCAAAGGTTAGAGATTTGGGGTGAGATAGATGAAAAAGCAATGTAATCAAAGTCTTTTTGGGGGGCATTAGTTGTGTATGAGGATGGCATGCGTTGGATTGCTGGATTGGTGACTTAATGGAAGATAGAAATACCAAAATGATTGACTTACAAAGCATGTTTTGACTTGATTAAAGAATAACCACATATATAAGATTACATGGTTGATATTTATTTTTAATATTAAGGAATATTAATAGTAACCCATAAAATAATGCATTTATAAGATACAAATAATGAGGGAAAAAATAAAACATTTACTTAAGATATTCTTAAAATTCATTTGATTGGATAATATCAAATATCTAATGATCATGTTTTTCAGCAATACCCTAAAATTTTAAATTTTTAATAATATATAGATATTATTTTCTACTCATAAAATTTCATGAGTTGGAAGCTGAAACAAAACATATTATGATATGTGGCACATTTATGATACAATATTAGCGTTTTTTTTTTTTTTTTTTTTTTTTTTGGATGCTACAAAATCATTTAATATACTAATGTGTACAATAGCCATTAATACACATGATGAGGTTTAAATAAATAGTTTTTAGAAAGTGAATTACGTGTGATGAGCTTTGATGAACTACACAATGTTGAATGAGATTACCAAGTACTACTGTGTCCTTCCTATTTATTTACTTTTCTGATAAGATAAACTTAAAATTATACATACATGAATACAGTAGAAAAAATGGAATAAATAAACAGAAAAATAATTATGTAAATTATCTGTAACATAAAATATCATTGTAAATACATATCCAAAATATTTTTGAATGATTCAATAATAAAACAAACTAGACTTTAAATACTTCCATGTTTCTTTTAATGCAAACTAAAAAATCAGAGCAATAAATAATCACATTATCAAAGTCAAAGCAAAAGACCAAAACTAGTCAATACAAGTGTCAATACGCAGAAGCATCAATACTTCGTTAATTTCGAGACAAGAGTAATTAACAACTTTGACTTCATTCAAAAACATTTGAATACATTTGAAAAACATACTTGAAAGTCCACGTAATCATCCTCCCTTTGACTGAATTTATTCAATTATGTTTAAATATTGAGTTAGCGCTCGGTGACAAAAACAAAAACAAAAACAATAGCCCCATTGCTGTACAGAAAAGACACTCAAGCTTCACATGTGGTGCCAAATTCATGCATGTTTTCATGAACTCATACCTCTTAATAATTGTAACCAAAATTTCCCACTTCATGAAACAAACAATCTTCATCCCCTTGTTTTACATGTATTTGTGTATATGTGTGTGTACATATAAATAAAAACTCACTTATGTCACTCCCAACAACATGGGTCCATGTCATTTATCTTTACGTTGAAGAAACAAGTGAACTGGTCCAGCATGATAAGTGCGGAGCTCGCAGCATGACGACAGTCATACAGTGTTTGAAGTGTTTATAGTCGCCGAACTTTGCACATCACAAACTGGTTGTTATGGTTCCAGAAGCCTGCAAAATGGAACCGGCCTTGACAGACAGACACACAGATACACTCAGACACGGTCATTGCAGTACAAAAAGACATGATGCAACGGTTCCGCAACACAGTAGGATGCCAGCTCCAGTACCCCACTTGAACTAGACAGTTAAAGCTAAGAGCTTGAAGCAGAATATGTCGATTCAATCGCAATAAAGGCACTTCCTGGGGATTGGATCAAACCATATCTCTCCATTTAGTTTTACACAGGTTTGGAAAAAGCGTTATTTATATAGGAAAAAATATATATATATATATATATATATATATGTAGAGAGAGAGAGAGAGAGAGAGAGAGAGAGAGGAAAAACTAGTCTCCGACCTCATTTACCCAAGCATGATTCTACAGTACATGAATCTGCCGTTGTGAGGAGCTGCAGAGGCTCATAACTGCTTGTGATTGACTTGCTACATGACAACCTTCGGCGTCAGACGGCGACATACGCTTGAGGTCAAAGCAGCCCTCCGGTGGCCAATAATCTCACCTGATCTCAATCATTGGTGCTGCCAGAGATGAGCAAAACCCCACATGTGAAGACTCGGAGGCCGGTTAACTAACACCCCCTCTTACACCAACAAAAGCTCATGAATCCATGGTTGAAAACCAAATAACCTTGTATGCGTGTTTGTGGTCTAAAAAAGGTGACTGCTCTCTTCATTTCGGTCGAAACCCATTCCCAGGTGGGGCTCAATCAAAGCGCAGGAACGTAGCCCCGTGTGTGTGTTGAAACACTGATGGGTTTGCATTGATTCTTTAGCATGGGGATTTGATTCGGTGTGGGAGGTTGGGAATTGGACGTTGAGAGGGGGGTTGAAGGGGGGGGAGGATCCGGCAGTCGGTGGGATTGCTGGTGGTGTCTAAGCTGTATATTTGGTCATTGGCGTTGGAAGGCCGTGGAGTTGCTGTATGTGTTGCTGTGGTCACTGGTTGCAGTGTTTTGCTTTAGGTAGTGACCCAATTGGTTGTGCGAGACGTTGAAGTGGAGGAGAAGGAGCTTCTTGTCTCTTTGTACCGTTCGGTAGATTGTTGGGTCTGCTTTTGGCCCCAGTTGTGTGTCCATCGCCTCGCTCTGCTCTCTGGTTAGTGTACGCACATCCACGCTTAGTAGGGACATTTTCCTGGCGTCTGTTGTTGTGTAGCTTGCCCAATGTCTTTCCCTCCTTGTCCACCTCTTTGCTCTTATTTGATGCTGGACCGGTGATAAAAAAAACACTTTTCCTGGGTGCTGAAATGTTCCATGGTATTTGTCCTCAGTCTAGTACACTCTGTATTCAGCAGTTCCTCATCGGCAACTTCTTTATTTTATTTATTTATCATTAATGAATTCATCAAAATTCTCAGGCGTCCACGTTTTCTGCAGCTCTGGTAGTGAAGATGTTGTTATCGTTAACGAAAGAAGAGAAGGCGATCGACCCGACTCTTGGATATCCCACCGGCTATGCAAAGCTCTGTCGCTATGCGTTAGCCCAGCCACAGGGAGCTTTGACGCCATTCGCGGAGGGGCCTCCTCAATGTTTTGTGCCTTACTCCCCTACTTCAGAAGAAGTACGTTTCTCATTCTTGTGCCTCACCCATTCAAGAAGCTCTGTTGCACACTATCTCGTTCTTCGTTCCGGCGTGTGCTCTAGGTGGGGTCATGACTTACGATTCACGTGTTTGCCAGAACTCCTACGAAAACCAATTAGTCATTGCACTTAGAGCCATTAACAACATAGGCATGATACTTGGTCCTACTGTACATTGCATTACTGTCAGGGGGACTGTCCTGAAAAGAGCTGATAGCAAACTGCACCTATCCTGGCAAACAAAGGAATTGCTTCTACCTAATCAGTGCAACCAGAGGCTTATATACGATCACAGTTGAATCTCGGAATAGATTGCATACTCACTTGCTGTGACACTGACAAATTTTCCTGTGGGGCAGCTGCAACTGCTGAAAGAGTGGGATGCGATTTTTCCTCTCATACCTGGTATTGACAAAGAGGCGCCCAATGCTCATGAATTTGCTGAAGAGCTCTGGGAGCAGCTTGATCACCTCGGGTGTGAAATCAACTCAAACTCTTCTGAGTCATTCAGTGTGAACTTGTTTTTGACGCGGTACAATTGTAATCAATGTTAAGTTACACAGGTAGGTACGAATTGCTCATCGTTACACTGTGGGATAAAGATCTGATTCTCGAAGGATTGCAGGAATGCGGGGTTTGATCCAGCGAAGTTTAGGGTGGACGCATATGGCAATGTTCTGTACTGGAGTGCCGATCCGTCCTCGCCTCTGTCCTGGGAGGTCGATCACTGGTTCCCACATTCACGTACGCAGTCCGCATGCCTATTTCTACTCGATTTTCTTCTAACATACTGAACTACCCACAATTTTGGGACCAAATGAAGTTGACTGTAAGCAAGGATTATCTGCATGTTCTTGGCAGCATCACATGATCGAAATCCATGCCTGCTAAACTCTAGTTCATTGGAATGCAGGAGGTGGTCTTACAGCACCGAGTAATCTGCAGATAGTACAATGGCAGGCCCGTCAACGAAAAAAGAATAGGCTAGAGTTCCTGGTGCCCTGGTGGGACCTACAGCATGGAGTATCAATCAACCAGTTCTTGTCCACATTCGCTTCCAAAAACGCTGAATTCAGGTGAGTCGTAAGAGGTAAAAGAAAAAGTTCTGGTGCCTTGTGGATTTTAATACCCCATTGAAGTGCAGTATTTCAGTTCATGCTTTTGTCCAACAAACTTCTCCCATAGCAAGGTATACGTTGTTTGTGTTCCTACATCAAGACTCGACAGATTTTTCATATCACTAGTAGTACATCTTATTGCACTTTGGTAGGTTGTCTGAAATAGTGACTGAAGTAAGCAAGGACTAATGCTCTTCTTTATGAAATTAGATCTATAAAGCCAATTAATCTCTTGTTTTTTAAAATATTACTTAAAATGCCTTTCTTTTATCTTATCATATATATTTTTTGGAAAATTTCTCGCAGACGACGGTACTTTGCACTATTTTTCGCCGGCGGAGAGGATGAGAAAATCGTTCGACATCATGTGGGTGACTGTGGACCATGGCCTCCCCAGCATCGAGGGAAGAGGTCCACTTGTGGTTTGGCAGGCGCTGCCATAGTGCCCGTGCGCAAAGAAAAACAAGTAGCTTCTATGACCTCAAGTTCTACTCCGTCTGCAACAATAGCTAAGCTGGAGGGGTCACTGACTGGTAAGCATCAACTTCTGGTATATTCCGTGCACCACCATAAATCATTTGTACAGCAGGAGGTGTGACGTTTATAGTCGATTGCCTCTATGTGTGGGAATTTACTGAAAAGAGGGTCTTTTCTTTTGATTTGAATTGGAGATTGTATAGGTTTAGGATCGTGAGCTTGATCCACTGCCAAATGAGCATGTTCCAACTCATGCATCAGGATGATGCCTTTAACTCGTTGACTGCTTGCTTTGGGGCATTATGATCTGTATTGACACATGTAACCTTTTCAATAATTCTAGAGTCGTTGAACCGACAGCAACGGAGCCTTGAGGAAGTGGATGAATTGAAGAGAGGCGTTCAAAATCATGAACCAGGCAGTCGGAAGGAGATCAAGGAACACGAACCTGTGCTTGTTAACCACACAACGGCTCATATCAAGGAGAAGGTGATACTCCTTCTTAACCTTGCAGCTTGCATAATCCTTCAACTAAGAAGCTAAATCTGGACGAGAAGCCACATTAATTATCAAATACTTATAGCTTGTGACACACAGCACTCTTCGCTTGATTGTCCCAAAATAAAAATCCTGGTCTGAAACCACACGGTAGTCATGCCTCTAATTGACCTGTTCTGACGTCCTGGACTCTGAATCATGTGACTCCAGTTGGTTCTTCTGACACATTGGGAATCTTAAGTGTAACTCATTAACAATTGGACGAATCCTATTGGTTTGTATCTAGATGTACTGACGTATGCATTCTGTGTGATCTACAAATAGTATCGAGTTGTGAGGGACTTTGGGAAGGAGAATAATACGAGTGATACTGTTTCCAGTGGTTGGAATGACTACGACAGGCAGTCAGTTGTCTCAAATACCATGCAAAAGGTAAATTACTGTTTGGACTGTTTTAATGGACGGAACAGGAATTCACTGAGCAATTTTTGTGTCCGAATTGACTTGCCGACTGCGTTAACTTGATGTGATCTCTTACGTATCTAGTCTATTTTGAAGGATTTTTCAATTATAGGCAGTGGTGCGTTCATTGTAAGTCATTATTATTCATTCATTAGAGCTGCGTTTGAATCCTGATTACTAGAGAATGGTAATGTTCTACACTCAGTGTATTGACTACTTTTAAATGGGCATAGGAATTGCGTCTCAAGAAAATAAGGGAAGAAGGCAAGAGAGAGAAAGAAAAAGAGGTTTCACAGCTTGAAGAGACGGTTCGAGCACTGAAAGCACAGAATGAGAAGGAGAGAATAGCTATTTTAGAGCTGGAGGGCAACTTGTCGAAGCACAAGCAAAAAGTAGAAAAGCAGAGGCGATGGGCTGAGACCCAGTCTTCATATCGGTTGTGCCTGGAGCGCATGATTCGGGATACCATGCATCAGTAATATCTCTATCTCCTACTATCACCCTGTGAGATGCACCGATATAGAATTGTATTCTAAATAAAATGAAGTAACAGTCGCACGTTTCTGTAAGCAAACATGCGATTGTCTGCCATATTCAGTGAGATATGACTGATATCCTTCGTGCTAACGAGACACCATTGACAACATACGATACTGATTTGTTGTGTGCAATGATTGCAGGAGTATTTCCTACAAAGAGCAGGCTCGACTCAATCAAGCTGCATGCAATGCTCTTATGGCACGTCTGGACTGCCAGAAGATGACATGCGAGGTTGCTGAGAAAGACCTCCTGCAGCGGTATTCTCAGCGGGAGGCGTTAGCAGCTTTGGTCAAGCCGGAAACCAGTGGATCCAGCCCAAACAAACCACTGAGGGGACGGGACATTGTTGACGTAAGCAGCTGCTTGTCGCTGGTCACCACGAATGATGGACAGATCGTGACTCCGGAAAAAGGTCTGCTCCAGGAGGATGTCTCAGAACTGCATTCTGAGGACGAGATCGAGGAAGAAGACTCTCTCAGTCTGCGAACACGGAACGGATTCTCTTTTCAATCATCGCGTTCTGACAACGATGCTCTGCTCCAACGAAGCTCATCCACAGGCAAAGGAAAAGGTGAGTGGCGAGTTGTCGTGCTCATAAATAGCTATTTTCTGTAAACCTGGCAAAGCATCTGAGTGCAGTTGAATGTGTTTCAAATGGTCCAATTCCAGCATCAACCACTCGGGTAGAAAAGTACGGTTCGACACGTGATCCTTAAAAACCTGCTTCAGAAAACTGTAGAATTGGCATGACTTTGATCAATAATCAGTTTGAACTAGGACAGGAACATGAAGAAGCGGTTCGTGGTTCTTTTATAGCAAACGTGGGTTACGGTAACACTAGGTGTGTTTGTTTGTGCTAGCTGTTAAGTTCTACTTGTAAGACGATTCGTCAGCATCGTTGTCACCTGAAGAATCTCAGGAGCAGGTAAAATGCTAAATTCTTGCATGGGCTTGAGTACTCCATCAACTGCTTCAGAGTCTGCAAGTTTAGAGCAATCTCATCTAGAATTGAATCTAAGCAGATGATGACTTGGGTGACATAGTTTTTTTCCAGAGAAACTTCCGAGAGAAGGAGCAAAGAGGAAGGCAATCTCGTTAGGAGTCGCACATATTCAACCCACAAAACAAGCGGTGGTCCATCGTCGGCATTTTGGACAAGTGCTTGAGAGCAACCATCAGACTCCAATGAAAATTGAGGATGGGAAAGAAGGTGGGACCTCCGAACCTGACTATTTCGTAGTGCGCCCCAGCTCAAAAATCTGAGTTTACCGACTTCACATTTATGCTGCAATTTTAATGTCCTGATCGGCTCAAAGTGAAATTCAACTCATATAGCCATTAACTCTAATCTCGTGGAACTGAACTTGACCGCAGATGAATCTATGCAACATAATTCACGAAATGAACCTGTTACGGCCAAGCAGTCGTCTATACATGAGCATGATATTGTAACACATCATAAACAAGATAATGTCATTCATAGCAATGAAAAAAGCAGCACCAGGGTGCTAGCTTGTCAGAATAGTTTACCTCCCGTGATTCTCACGACCACTGTGAAAACTGTACCCGATTGCGAGCCTTCCATCTATGTGCAAGAAATTATTGAAGTTGAAGCACCTCCTTTGGATAACGATAGCAAAAGAGGCATGGATGAATTGATGCAAGAGGTAGCATTTCATTTTTCCCGGGCTCATCAGCGATGTGGTCATACCTGACCTCGTTGTTGATATTGCTGTTTCCACTATCTTAGATGTAATATGTAATGGACAAAAGAGTTGGGAAATTTGCTTGTCTCCTTTCATGGTGGAGTAAGGTGAAGTTCATGTTAATTGTGGGATCCATTTGGGCTTCGAGTCTTGGAAGTGAAAGAGTTAAACAATAAGACTTACCTCTTCACTACACCAGCTAAAAGCTATTGAGTTTTTGCGAGGACATTACCTGGACATCGGCGTAACCTCTACCTCTTCTGCGTTCTCAGGTCATCGTCACGCACGAGGACAAGATTAAGAACGCTGAGGGTGCAACTTTTGAACACTCCAATTCAGACGATGAAAGAATCAAGGAAATCGGGAAGTCCAACATTGACAAATGGTTACATGTGTTGCTAAACGAGGAGTTCCCGCGAATCAGTACAGACAGCCCAAACAATGGCCAGCCTCCCCTTTCACCAGCTTTATCAGCTCTAAGCATGGCTGCTCTACGAGGAAGCGTAGAGCTGGAACAAGGCAAAGACTTCGATGTAAGTTCGTGCTTGTTTGAGTTTATAATATGAAACATGTTTCATGCTGCACCTGTCTTACATGCTTGTGTGCTTGATCATGTGCTTGGCTACTTAGTGTCGAGAGCAAGTTGGAATCGAGTAGAGCAAAAGAATCTAGTAACGAGACTTCAAACTTAGAGCTAACAAAACCACTGCATCTGGTTTCGCAGGAATTTCTCAAAAAGGAGTGTGCAGAGGGGCTCAAAGGACGCTTGAGTGGAATCATGCGCAAATTGAGTGTCAGGCAAAGTGATGAGGAGAGTGTCATTGACCTTTCCGGGCGAACAGAAAACAGGCACGACCTGAGAAACACATTGAAATTCTTCGAAGATTTTACACTGAAAGAGTGTGCTCTGCATGGACAGCATCAATCACAGCCAGCGTGTCGCATGAGCTCATCCATTCCTGAGTCCGTCAGAAACTGGCCAGAAGGTGGAATCAAACCAAAAGGGGGAGCAGATTGGTTGAGAGATTCTGCTTCAACAAAAATGAAGTCTTCGAACAGTAAGTCAGTGAAGGAAGAGCCCATTTCAAGTGTTTTTCTCACCTTGCACAAGAAGTCAGCTTCTGAGGATATCGAAGGTGCAGACTGGGAGATATTCAGCGGCGGTAACTCAGAGGGGCTTGCAGAACCCAAAGACGGATCACATCACAGACATGGCCTTCGAGCAACTTTGAAAGCCTGCTCTCTGAAGTGGAGAAAGTCTGTAAAAAGGTTGGACAAGTCTTTACAAGATGGCTCCATTCCTCTGCAGGATTGTTGACATGGGGACCGAAACTTCTCATTCTTTGCTGAGCCAACGTCATTGACATGATAGTCTTCGAGGAAAGCTGATGCTCTTACGCTTTCCTCCTCCGCATCGACTCCTTGCTGATCATCTTCTGCCGAAGTCTTGTATTATTATTACTTTTATTATTCTGATTCTTAGCAAGCCCCTTCCTTCATTGCATATATCTGATTGTAGAATATGAATTTCAGGTCTCACATTCCAGTGAACCTCGCATTTTAGAATTAGATCTCCAGAATTTACATTCTTTAGCTTCTAAGCAGAAATAGAAAAAGAAAAAAAACGAAGTTTGTGTGAGTTACTTGATCCCATCTTTGTATACTGCAATATGGGGATGTTACCTTCATCAACCGCATTATGTTGTTCAATATCTGTACGTTCCTGTTTTGTAACTGCCGTTGGGTCCTTGATGTAAAAATCACATGGCTAAAAAATACGTCAAATTACATTGAATTAAAACTCGGCCATGACTATTGCATTGGCATCTAACAAGTACCCCAAAACTGTTACGTAGATTGAAACCGAAATTCAGATTTTCATCTGACATGCTGATGTTGTTATAATGAGCTCTCAAAATTATAGATCGACTTAGGTTCATAATCTCCTGATAGTTTTAATAGTAACTTTTTTTTTTTTTTAATTTTTTTTTCAAACACATGGAAGTGGACTGCTCTAATAAAAACATTCATGGATCTTCTTAAGCCAACATGCTTATTATATTCTATTACTATATTCTGCATAGAATTTATGTACTTTTAAACTTTGTTTGCTATCAAATAGTTTGTGTACATGTGTTAACAATTAGTGTTAGATTTTATTTTTTTGTAATTTAAATAAATTTTGATATTTTAGAAGTCCGTTTAAATTTATAATTTGAATGAGGATAGGTCTAGATTGTTATTTGAGTATGAATCTTCTTATTTTTATACTATAATTTCTAAAACCAAATAGCCTTGAAAATAAAAAAATCAATAGGATCTTATTACAAAGTTGAATTACTTCCACAAGTATAAAAGTTGGTATCTTATTTTTTTGTAGATCATTTTAATTTTTTACATCATAGTAAATTATTTCAATAAATTAATGAAGAATATTTATAAAAAATAAAGTAAAATATTGGTAAATAAAATTAATTACAAAAAAATTGGATACATTTTGTAGGTTGATTTTAGCAAAGTTATATATGTCTTATATTTTACTAAGTATTCATATTGTACTTTAAAAAAAATGTTACTAACTTTCAAACAATAGCCTTGGATAGAGATTTTCTTTCAAAAAAAACTTAAATAAGCTGATAATATTATTTTTAGTTTTTATTGCTAAAACCTAAAGAATTCAATACCTACTCTAGGAAACATAACACTTTTATAGACTTAGATTTTTAAAGCCTTATAAATATCTAATATTCGTTTTAGATCTATCTTCAAAGAAATTGTACTATTTTATTATTTTTTTGAAGATTTGATAAGTCAAATATTCTATTAGTTTTTTTATAAATATATATATATATAAATAAATTAAAATAAATTAAAATATTTGGCAAATAATAAGAAGCTCACTAGCTTTACTAAAATAAAAACTTAATAATAAGAAGCTCACTAGTATTTTTTAAGTTTTTATTTTAAGAAAATTTATTATATTTTAGTACTTTCTAAGATTTAATTATAAAAAATAGATTTAAAAATAACAAGAATCTCTATTCATAATCTACTTAACTCTTAATATTATATTTTCCTCTTCTATTCTTTGATAACTTACTTATAAGAGATTTTTTTTATTGTTTATTGGCTAATTTTTACTCTTCATTATATAATCTATTATGTATAGTTTCTAACATACTTTTACAATCTAATTTTATTTTTTTGGCTAACTTGGCTTTTTATAGCTGAAATTTCTTTAAAATTTCATGATTATGTGTGAAATGCATAGAAATACAGCGTTACCACCTTACTCCCAATATATCTTTAATTCGTTGGTTTCTTTCTTTTTTCTCTATAAATTTTATATTAAATTTATATCCAATACATAGTTGATTATTTGATAAAATATAAAATATAAAATATAAAATATCAAACTCATTAAAAATAATTAAAAAAAGATAAATCTTCTATAATTTATCATCTAAAATTTAGTTGATTTTAAAAGTAGAAGATGTTATGTAAAATATATTTGAATTGTATAGGAATCTTAATAACAACCTTCATTTTTTTTTTTTTTTATAGATCTTTTGATATTATTTTGTAAAGAAAAAAATATTAGAAGTTAAAAATGACTTTGAAGATCTTCTTAAGCATCCTTATTTATTAATAAAGTTTTCTAAGCACAATTAAACTTATGTTGTAAGATTCTAGTTCCTTCTGAATATCAAATTAATAATATTCTATAGCACTTCTTGCATCATGTTCTACAATCTTTCCCTCTTACTAGTTTTATTTATTGCATAAATATTGCCAATTCCAAAAGTCCCATAGATATACTACTAAATAAGTTTATATGACCAATGTTGTTTATAAGTTATTGCATTTTCTTTAGATCATTGAATCATCAAAAATTAAACATGGTAGAAAAAACTTTATTTGATTTGGAAATAAGAGGCATTACAATTTATTATTCAATAATTTATTTTCACTAAAAATGATGAGGACCTTCCAAGAGCATTGCATAGTAAATATATAGGTTCAATCTTCTTATTGTTCACCCTTTGTTTAGATGGTGTCATCACTTTGGAGGCCCCCAAGTGTTGTAGTATTTGTGCATATGTCCAAAATCTCTTTATTCTATTCTAATTAGATTTATTTTCATATAAAAGATTGATAAGCTTAGAAGGTGTATTTATAAAACATGATATCTCATATTCTCTATGATAAATTTGACAACTTAGAATTGAAAGATCTAGCTACCTTTGAGGCTCTTATATTAGTTGTGGGCATCATGTCTTATTCTAGATCATATCTTTTTTCATATCTATCCATTGCATTAGTGTTATTTATTTCTTATCTTCTTTTTGGACATATGCACAAATAATGTAGATTATTTGTGCATACTTGTATATGAACCAATAGATGTCACCTTGTCTATGTAAATTTTTGCTATTAGCTTTGTGTTCTTCTTTCATATTTTTTTTTAGTGTACTTTGTGTTTAGTCAACTTTAATTCCATAAATTGTATAAAGATAGCACCTACACTTTACAATAAAGAAGTAATAATTAACAACAATAGATATTTTTTTCTCTTAAAATCAATTTTATTGTTGTAAACAAGAGCTCTAATTCTTTCTTTGTAACAATAGCTATACAAAATCTAGGATTAAACTTGTGCTTGTCCTCAAGCAATATGCTAATGTTAATTGGTTTGATTTTACCTAAATCTTAAAACTTATATGGCAATTTTTTAAGGATATTCTTATAAATATTATAATTATGTTTTTTCATTATGGATATAGCAATGATTTGGAATCTAAACTTACATTTTAAATGTTTCCATAAGAGATCTGCTTAGATTGAATAATTTTAATTTTTTTGTTGATTTGGAGATTTTTCATTTATATTAAATATAATCTCTCCAAAATAATTTATTTATTATTAGTATGTTTCCAAGTTTTTATTTTAATCAAGCAAACCATTCTCTAAAATTTAATTTAGGAGTTTTTCTCCCACATATCTTACTAACATTTTTTTTTTTTTTTTTTTTCTTTTTTAAATGCAACATTTCCTATTTTACCTTTCTATTTTTTTGAAATGTCTTGGAAGCTTAAATTTATTTTCACACAATTTTCTTTCAAAAATAAAACTAAATAGAAAACACTCCAGTAACTTTTTTTTTCTGAAAATTAGCATATCAGCAATATGAAAAAAAATCTAAATCTTCTAAGTTTCAACAAATTCCACTTTCTACACTCCAAAAAACTGACCTACAACAGTAAAAAAAATTGCAGAAAATTGGTAATTGAAATGTATTACCAACTTATTAAATAAAATGAGCATTGTTCTACAGTTCAAACAAAAGTTAAACAAAATGACGTTGAAAACAATTTCAAATTAAAATTTCTTGACAAGAACAATTATAGTATTGTTTCGGCAAAGATGGTATCTCATGGAAAAGCATACATATGACGTGTTGCGTGACAGTTCAAGACATCCTTGCTAGCCTTGAAGGTCGAAAGTGGCCTAAGCTTATGGTCTACAATAATCAATAATAACTAATAATAATACATCATCACACTCTTAACGAACTTAGAACCAACTCTGCTGGGGTCTAAGCACATTACTAAATATCAAAAAAGCCTGAAATACTTGAAATCCTGGACTGTCTAAGCAAAGGTGTTGCCACTAGTGCACACAAGGTTATCAGAAGAGCCACCCTCGTCAAGACAGCACATCACATGCACACAACTTTTCAGAATATGGCAACACATTAGCAATTCATGGAGGAATGTGAAGCAGAAACATACTTGTTTTGAGCTTATAACATGAAGACTTCGGTGGAAACCTCAATCAAGCAATAACCTGGGGACAATGTCTCAGAATCAAACCCAAAATCAGCAAAAAGATACAACCACAAGTACATAATAGAAATCTGGGACTCCGAATTTGTGTGTATCTGTGTGAGAAGTCATGCTTTTGAGTTTGATCCTCCATCATCTGCACCTGCGATCTGCATGTGAAAATTTTCATCCTCACTGTGTCTGACTGTAAGAAACCGCAGTGTAAGGAAGAGTGAAGGAAATGAACTTCTCCGGGGGGAGGAACAAAACTCACCAACTAACAACAGAACGCTACTGAAAGAAACTTTACGAGAAATGCCTCAAAGGTATTCAATCGCTCGTCCAGATCTTATAACCAACCTGTACAGCCCATGCAACGAATTAATCTTCCCGCTTGGCAGTACTCCTGATTATGTGATCGTCATGAACTCAAGGAATAAATGCAGTGATGTAGGATGACTTTACCCAAAAAATGAATGTAAAAATGACGCTAGCCAGGACGTATCGCTGAACGGCGCATAAATCGCACCGACTCTTCTTGTCCTTGTACTTCCCCCTCCTCCCATCCAACCTGATTCCGTTTCCTGGAAGATCAATCCACATGCCTGTGATTGAGGCAGAGTGACGTCCCTCAGTATGCGCGAACACAAACAGGGGTGCTTTAGGTCTACTGGCCATTCCATACCGTATCTGAAGAGTACGACTACGAATTACAAGGCCAGATAAGCAGCTGCATTATATAACTAACATGAACCATTCAGGGGTTGGATTGGTATGCCGAACAAGGAAGACCCTCAAGAGATGATCCAGTCCAACCCGCACATGAAACCAACAGGACAAAAAAACGGTGAGCTATTCCTTGTGGAATAAAAAGGCACCAACATAATCTACATCATGAATTTTCCCCATTACATTATAAACTCATGCTGCATGACCCTTCACAGACACACGAGGCGTCTGCATACCTACAGCCAAGCTGTGAACTCAATGCAATGGCTACGCGTCGCAAGGCAAAATCTGCCTTGATAGCACTAGGGCAAAGGTTTAAGAACGAGGCGAAGAAACTCAAGGGAAGGATTCATGGGAATCACAAAGGGCGACCTGTCTTGTCCAATGGGTACGACGCCAGTCTCCAGCTAGTGGATCACATCGTCGCATACCACCCCTTTCATGACCATCACCCTCCCCTCCCTACTTCCCAACTATTCACAGCTGCATGCCGGTTTCACACCCTAATCCTGGCGATAACGGAGCTCCGCTTCTGCGATCACCCACCAATTGCTCTCGAAACGACTTCTGCACGCTAGAATTCTATCATCTCACATCAAACCCTCGTCCCCCAAAAAACAAAATTAACCCTAAAGTATTCAACCATGAAGGATGAAGAGGATTTTACCTCACCTCGATACGCAAGTCGCTCCGCATGCCAGACACCTCAACGATCCAGCCCTCGAAAGTTGCCTCGTAGACAAACCCGAGGAAAACAACAACAACAACATTCCAACATGAAATGCTTGGAAAAATCCACATGCACTCGTGACGAGTAAACTGCAGATTCAATTGCGATGTGGCGGAAGGAATTGCTCACCTCGAGCGATCTCGAAGCCAGGAGACGAGGATGCTGGGAAGATTGTGCCACCACACACTGCCTTATTTTATTTTATTTTTCTTTGTAATATCTTGTGAAACTTTAATTTTGATACATTGTTTCAGGATGAATAGCTTGTAAGTAGAATTTGGTGATTACATCATCAAAGATTGTTATAAACCTTAAAATGCTCAAATTGAAGGACGAATATGAACTGTTTGCTTTTTCTTTTTCTTTTTTTTCTGAATGATTTACCGAGACAACTTTTTCGAAAACGTTCCTTATATGTATATATATGTACTTTGGTACAATTAGGTCTTTGAATATTGATATCTTTGTGTTTTGTACATAACTCTAGGGTTGTAGCACGTCATTTTTGGCATTTCAAACATATGAACGTAACATTCATTGTGGCTTTCTTTTATTTTCTTTTTGTAGTAATGCCATGAAAAATTATTAAATTTTAGATTTTTACATCATGTAGAAGTTCCAGAAAAACAAAATAAAATAAAATAAAATATTTTATTTACAGTTACTGTTTGTCTGGTATGTGCATAATTTAATAAAAATTATGTAAACCAATTTTGACCATGGAATAAAATAAAAAAATCAGTGCTTATTTAAAATTATGGAATATAAAAATCAATAATAAAAAATAAAATAAAAAGTTTTTCTACAAAAGTATCTATGGGTGTGGTATTTGTTGAGAATACTTTAATGGAATATATTTAAAATAAGACATCAATCAAATACTCTCACTCTTGTCTTCAAGCTCAATGTTTATTTTATCTTTGAAGAAAGATTAGAGATATTAAGATTTACTTACGTAATTGTAACACAAATTTGATACTATAACTTGATTTTAGTATTTTTTTTTTTTTTTTGAATTTGTTTAATCGTTTTTTCGATATATTTTCCTGAAAGTATGAGGATTACTTTTTATTATGCTTTTCATTTTGATTCTAATTGTATGTCTTGCAATAAAATGTGAATTGAGTATACATGTCTATTGTGTTTTCAATGCTATCATTTCGATTCATCAACTGGTTTTGTACGTGTGGATTTGTTTTCTTGGTATTGTAAAGGTTCATTATCATTTATTCTTTTTACTAGTATAAATTTATGGTGCTAAGGCATTTTCAGTATGATCAATTAAAAAGGATGTGAAAAAAATTTAGATTAATAAAAATGAATTGATAATAAGTATAAAACATTTCATTTCACAATTGAAATTGTAAAGTATTTTGTTATTTGTACAGTGTAACTTAATCTTGTCATCAGTTTACAAAAACTTTTGAACAAAGATCATAATGGCATCTAATTGTGACAAATCGCTTTTGTGATGTATGTCTAATTTTTATCACATTATGACCAAATATGAGTTTTATTTCATTTTATATTTGATTTCAAAGTCTATACTTTGATATGTAAGACTAGAGTGTTGGTGTTTAATATGGAAGTTGAACTGTCATGACATTGCAGGATGGTAATACTTGTGTATAATAATACAAATATTTCCCTACTTCAGTCATATTAAGTAATACACTCAATAGTAACCCACTTGGTATATAGGAATACATATATATATATATATATATATATATTAAAATCAAACGTTAGATAGACTCCAATGTAATTACTAAGATTATTTTATACATTTATTAGACAAAGTGTAATATATGGGATGAAGTTATATTTTCATGTTGATTGTAATTTAATTGTCGGAAGTTCAATAAATTTAATGAATATAGATTTAATCATGAAACTCAAAATATAATAGTACATCATATATATATATATATAATTCAAGTTAAATAATAATAATAATAATAATAATAATAATATCAAGAGTTATTTCTAAAAATTATTGAATATATAACACAGGAACAATTGTGCACGTCCAGGTGAAGAGTTTTATTTTTCAATTGATGTACCAATTACTTTACAATAAAATAAAATAAAATAAAATCCATGATTGAAAGAAGGACAGAAGAAGAAGAAGAAAAAAAAAACTGACACAAAAATAAATAAATAAATAAATTATTCACAAAGAGAGGGAAATTCCTCAACAGAGTGGTGGTCCAAGGGAACCAGATTGCAGGCATGTTCCACATGATGGCCACCCAATTCCGCACCAGAACTTGTCATCTCTCTCTGGGGCTGACCAAAGACATGGACAGTCAAAGCCCACATACTCTCTCCACATATATACATACACATATATATGTCCGTGCAGAATATGCCACCTTGGGCCTCACTCCGTTCCCCTCATGAAAGGGAACATGGGGCACTCCCTTGGTGGCACTGTTCCCACTCACCAACTCTTACGCAAAAAGCAAGCAGTCCATGCACATGTTCACTCCTTCCTCACCATCTTCTCAACAAAGTGACAAGCAATAATTGGTGATGTTGCTCACCTTGAGGTACATGGAATACAAAATACATACTCTCTTCTATACTTACAAGTACATACTCTTAAACATACTTACTAGTAAAAACCCATAAAGTTGGCCACAAATAATACTTATTAAAACATATTTATTAAAAAACATTTTACTGAAAATTATAATTGAGAGCTTCTAAGCTCCATGTCTAGTGATCTCACAATGCTACTCTCAACAATTTGCAACAACAACATGCAGATTTTGATCTCTAATTGATCAAAAGTTGAGTTATTGCTTCATTTTTGACAAAAACAATGACATATGCAACTGATTAGAGATGATTTGTGTCTCTTCTAGTTTATCCCCTTTGGTTTATCCCTCCTTAGTTGTTTTATGTAAGATAAATATATGTATATAAATTTATTGTATGAAATGTATGGGAATGTGGGAGTTTTAAAGTAGTTTCCATGGAATTTCATGTGTTTAGAAGATGCAATTGGTCAACATCCTTGCATTGAAAAAAAAAAAAAAAAAAAAAAAAAAAAAAACTTAGAATGTGATTGTGTGTGATTTCAAAGATGAAGGGTGGCTGATTATTTCTTAGTATGATTTTGTTTTTACTCAAAAATGTTGACTTTTAGTTATTTATACTGAAGATTTCATGATATAATATTAATTGCTTGATAAGGTGGGAGATTTGCCTAAAATATATGCCACTAAAACTATATAAATATATATCCATATATATGGATAAAATATGCTTTGTAATATTCTGGTGGTGTTTTGTTTTACTAAAAATGAAGATTAAAGTGAGAATATTTAGTTTTTTGTGACATGATCTTAAGGATATCAAAACTACTCCCAATAATATATACATGTATTTCTACACATATTGTAAGTTGAGAAAAAAAAATTACTATAATTTTACATGTAATTTGTAATACAGTTGTACATTTGCAATTGAGTATACCACACAAAAGAAAAAGCATACAAAACTGAAACCATCACCTCAATCAGAAACTAAAAACTCTGCAAAAAATCATTTGAATGCACCCAAAAACAAAAACAAAACCAAAAAAAAAAAAAAAAAAAAAAACAACAACAAAAACAACAAAATGCTGAATTTGCAAACTTTTTTTTACACTATCATACACCTTGAATGATTACATGTGAGTGTTCCATTTTCAACATAGTTTCATGGCATGTTGAAACCAACTATTGTCTCTCTCTTTCTCTCAAGTTTATTTACTTTATTTTCTCTCATCTATTGTCAAAAACAATATAATAATAATAATAATAATAATAATTCTTTCTGATGAAAGAAGGGCTTGATTTTCAACATAGCAAGGCTACATTAGGGGACTTTTCAATCAATGTCAGCCTTTTTGATGATGTCACATGGTGGAATGGTAGTAGTGTATTTAAGGGACTCCATTGAGGATGGATGTTACACGACGGATGACGACGTCCATCCACTCTCTCACGCTGCAAGGTTAACCTCTGTACATCCGCTTAACCTCGGAAACTTGGACGAATGAATATCATAACCATAATTGGATGTAAAGATCGAGACATTCATCCGCTACGAAGACTTGGGAGCCCCACCCGAGGCGGCAGCATGCAGCGAGGGCGGCCTCCTCGGCAGTGAAGTCATCCCGAGAATCACTCGCCCGGCGTCGAATCCACAATCGACGCATGGATGCTTCGAAGTTCGCGAGCGGAGGAAGATGCCGAAATGTGACTACCCACAATTTTTTCAAGTGCGAAACGAGGAAAAGATTCCGAGCCCGTGCTATGCGTCGCAGTCCAGAAGGGGCCGAGACCCAGCGCCCAGCTGGTTGGCTACAAATCCATCGTGATTACGGGGCTATGTCTTTCTTTAGTAAATCGTGCGTGTATCAATGGGTGGTTGATCGCGTTTTTGCAACTGCCGTTGCCTGGAATTCGGGTCCAGGGGTGCCTCAAAAAGCACTGCGCAAAGGAGCGGAGGAATTCCCGTGATGGACTTTACCTAAGGGCGGCTGGAGCGTATCACGACTCAATTTTACTGCGGAAAGGGTGACTTCGGCAGTTGGAAGCGGGAAGTTGGAAGGAGCAGGACGGCACCCAATGAGAATGGGTCCACCCTGAGACGGACATTCGTTTCGCGTAGGAAAGGAGATTCCTGTTCTGGACGCCCTTTGTGGACCCCCTGCATGGTGGGGTTCTGAGTTCCAACTTCCAACTGTTTAAGGCATTTTTGGTGCGGGAGCTATTTGAGCGAAAAGTGGCGGATGGTTGACGAGGGGAAGAAGAGCAAGGTGTTGCCCGCCGAGTGATTGTGAGCAAATACACGGATGGGACGGGGAAGGGTGGATTCTCCTGGACGATCGAGCCGCCTCGCCTCGAATGCTTCCTTGCTGGGAGACCCCTGGGGGAGCCGCAGCCAGCAGTAGTCACCAAGGAGCATTGGCCCCCGCTTCTATCAAGGAGCCTTGCGCTGCACCCCCTACCCCCGCCCCTCCACTCACCCCTCCCCCCCCCCCTGCCACAAATATATTCTCTCTGTTTCTGCTCAAGATGTTTAACAGACTCCGTCCCCACCTATCAGGGCTCTGTGACTTTCCTCACTGACCACCTTGCCGTCCTTCCTCAGACCATTCCTCTTTCTTCTCCTTGTCCGATCGTACCCCTACAGCACCATTTCCTTGCATCCCCTTCCGTGAGTGTTTGGCTTTGAAGCATCATCCTTACTTCGTATTATTCACGTGTAATTTTGGAAAACTCCAAATATTAGGAAACAGGGAGTTCGTCAACATCAGTACGTTGAGTTCGATCGTTCTCTGCAATTTCTTTCACTGTTTCTGTAGCTTTTCTAACCGTTTTAGAGTTTTAAGCTCACGTACAAGGATCAGAGCTCAGGATGCCGATCGGATGGTTTTCAACTTGAGTCTCAGGATTGTGCGTCCGTTTTGAGAACAGCTCAACAGGGTTTTTATTGTAACTTGTTTGTTTGTTTTCGTTTGTGCCTGTGATTATTATTATTTATCCTTTAGGCTTTCATTTTTGAGACGAGGAGCAAATTTCGTTGCGGTGAAATTTAATTTCTCACAGAAACGATGGCTGTCGCCAGCCTTTTTCCAAGCTCGGGGCTCCGAGTCGATGGAAATGCTACCAATACCCTGAGTTCGCCTTTCGTTTCGCTTTCTCTGCCGAACAGCTTGTCCATACGGCGTAGAAAGAGCCGTACGATTGCTCTCGCACTGAACCAACCTGATAGTGGTAGAAGCGACCACGTTGTCCGAAAAGCTGTAAGCACTGAGAGAAGAGAGGAAGAGCGATACTCCACTATCAGCGAAGAAGATTATGCGGAGAATTTCAGGCCGCCTCACATTACCGATGTGTTCGATATATCTCCTCGCCCGTCCACGTTTTGTGCTAAAACTAGGTGAGTTTAGATTCTTGTTTACTTGGCTTGTTACCGAGTTCTGGTTGTCAACAATGTACACACTGCCCCACCACACCCCCCCCCCCCCTTTTCCAATTTAGCCTAACTTTGTTTCGTAAACACTGCATCCTTTGAGGTTGTGCACATTGTCGTTGCAGTCAGTCCTCTACTTGTTGAGACTGCCGGTCGAAAATGAATTGGGTTTCATATTTTTACAATTTATTGAATTATTTGTTTGTTTTTGTTGCAGCCTTCCCTTACCGGAGGGCCGAACGACCAACCGCTTTAGCAATGATCTTGGAAAAATGTTCATCCACGAAGATGATCGTGTACTCCTCAAGGTATCCATCTATTTCACGACAGTTCCCTCGTCGTAGAATTTTCCCCTCTTTACGAGTGAGTATTATGATTCGATAACCTAGATGTTTTGCCTATAAGAGTTATCTGATCATTGAAATAACTATGAACAGACGATCAAGTATGCATCGCCAGCGTCGGCTGGAGCTGAATGTGTGGACCGCGATTGCAATTTTCATCATCAATGGTAACCTGGTTATCAAAAACAAAACTTAATTTTCTTTTGTCGTCATTGTAATACTCCCGCATTAACTTGCCCTGACAGAATCATTGTGTAATAGCCTCCACGATCGAGTAACAAAAATTATTCACGATGGCTAAAGTGTCTTGTGGGTGTAGGGTTGCAAGGGCCGGACCTCGACAAAAGATTTACTTTGACCCAGAAGAGGTCAACGCAGCCATTGTCACTTGTGGAGGACTTTGTCCTGGCCTCAACGACGTCATTCGGCAGGTGATAATGCTCTGCAAAATGAACTGTTTAGTCAGCGATTTAATTTCAGAAATACGAGAGGTCTTGGGGAGGGTGAACTGAGTTCGTGTTTAAGCCTCTCAAAGTTTCAACGACTGTTCAATGTTCTGATTCCTGTCGTAATTGTTGCAGATTGTATTGACATTGGATTGCTACGGGGTTGAGAATATTCGTGGAATACCCAACGGCTATCGCGGTTTTTTCGAGGAAAACCTCCACGACATTCCTGTAAGTTCCTATACTTTTGGGAAGTAATCTCGACAACTAGATGACATGGTTAATATATGAAACTGCATTTGAACTGATGATAGTCATCTTGTTGATGGCTTGTGAGGTGCAGTTATCAAGGGAGATAGTACAGAACATTCACCTTGAAGGAGGGAGTCTGCTGGGTGTTTCCCGTGGAGGTTCTAAAACTGCTGACATTGTGGACAGCATAAAGGTAAGTGTTTCGACTTCTGTTTAGTACTCTTTGGAAGTCTATCTGGATAGTATGAAGTGCTCGACAGAATTATCGTCGTCCACCTCTCGTACAAACAAAGCTTGCCAAACGCACACATGTACTTCCTCTCATGGGTGCTAATGATTCCTGGTCTCAGGGATTGCCAGTTCACGCTTGAACGCTTGTGTCATACAGAGGAAGGGTATCAACATGCTATTTGTACTTGGAGGGAATGGGACTCATGCAGGCGCACTTGCCATTCACAACGAGGTGAAATTCTATAACAGCTACTGTTTTTCACAAACTATTCTTTTGGCATGGTGTTGAAACATCAGACGAAATCTGGGTTAGTAACACCCGATCGGTCCTGTTTCCAGTGTCACAAACGGGGGATGAAAGTTGTGGTTGTGGGAGTTCCCAAGACGATCGATAATGACATCCTCCTCATGGATAGGACTTTCGGATTTGATACAGCTGTTGAAGAAGCCCAGAAGGCTATCATGACGGCCTACATCGAGGTATTTATTGCTGTTTACAAGTAGCATCTTCATCAACTAGTGAAAAAATATGTTTGGAGAATGCGTTTTGATTCAAGCCTTTGAGCAATTGTGGCAATCACTTTATAGTTTCTGCTTAAACTCATGTCAATGGCGTGCAGGCGACGAGTGCTTACAATGGCGTAGGCATCGTCAAGTTGATGGGTAGACAGAGTGGTTTTATCGCGATGCATGCATCTCTGGCAAGCGGTCAGGTTGATGTCTGCTTGATACCAGAGGTAATTTTCTCATCTTGAAACAAAATCCTTGCCGCAGTGAGCCCTTTGGTGCTGTTTCTTCCGCTTTAAGGTTTGTGACTGCATACTGATATATTGATGCCCACAGTGTGAGAAACTTGGTTGTCTGTGGATACATCATCCTGTTTGTGGATACACCATTCTGTCTGGGAGAGCCACATGGTGGTCGAGAAGAGATTTTCTGCTTGTAGCCCATTTTGTTGTACGCCGTGAACAATTATCAGATATGAATGCGTCAAATTGGGATGACTTATCTAGCTGTTGTAGCTGGAATCAGAGAAGAGCATCTTCTGTAGATGCCGATTAATACTGGAAACCAAGTCTTATAGCAAAGACGGAAGTTGTCATGATTCGTACATCATGTGTGCTGTAGGTAAAATTCACATTGGACGGACCTGAAGGAATGCTGCAGCACATCCAATATTTGCTAGAAACGAAAGGTCGTGCTGTTATTTGTGTAGCTGAAGGTGCCGGCCAGGTTAGTCTCTCTGTCTCCTGTCCTCTGTCCTGAGTCTAAGTTATCACTTAGTTGCTGACTAATTTCTCACTCTACGATCCGATACACCTCTTGGAGATTCTGAATTCTGACCAAATCTGAGTTCTTTCTGATGGGACTTTCCAAGAATCTTACGTTCAAAATTTGTGGTTGTGAGGAAACTTCAATTTGAGTACTTTCATATCACTTTCTTGATTTTTATGATATGTTGTTTCGTTCAGGATTTGATGGCGTCCCTGTCAAATGGCGCCACTGATCCGTCGGGAAACCCAATCTTAGGAGACATTGGCGTACACCTCACAAAAGAGGTTAGATTGCAAACTTTTGAATGTCCTGGTGTCTCACACAAATCTCTCTTCGTCTATTGCATCCTTCCGGATAAAAACTACGGAGTGTCCTCTTTTGCAAGAAAATGCATGCTTTATGTAACATAGTGACCACCTTGATACTGTTGTAGTATTATGCTTAGTAGTTAGCAGCTCTGGGTCACTGAGGTAAAAACCACCAAAATACAGCTTATGATTTATCACTATCGAGTGATTTAGGATTGCTGTACTCCGATGCTCAATGGCAAATTTCGAAAGCTTCGAATTTTGAACGATTTCGGGGACCTTAAAATGTGTCGTATCGCAGGTAAAGAGACATTTCAAGGACATTGGAGTACCAGCGGATGTGAAGTACATTGATCCTACCTACATGATTCGAGCATGTCGAGCCAATGCTTCTGACCGAATCTTGTGTGCTGTACTTGGACAAAATGCGGTATGTTTGTTTGACTAGAGCAGATTCGGCTTTTTTTAGAGCAACGGCTAAGTACTTTTTTTTCTTTCTAGAAATGATTGAATATTACCAGTCTCATCCTTGAAATTGTTTTCTGAACCCCAAACTCCTCAAGTATGGTACTTCATACGAAATAAGAATCTCATCGTTTGAAACTCATTAATGTTTTTTTTTCTTACTTGAGCTTTTTCCATGTGCAGGTTCATGCAGGTTTTGCTGGATTCACTGGCATTACCGTTGGAATTGCCAACAATCACTATGTGGTACTACCCATTCCAGAGGTGATCTCCCATGCAAGAAATGTCGATCCTAACAGCCGAATGTGGCATCGGTGTCTTACATCGACTGGACAACCAGACTTTGCATAAGCGGAGAGAGAAAGCTAACATGTTATTTTCTTTTTCTTGTTCTTTTATGTTTTTCTTTGAGGATGCCTTGCTGAACCCCATGAACGGCAACCTTGTAGACAACACCAGCTCTCTTCATGAAAATCATGCTATATAATATCGAAAATCATTGAGCTAAAATAGGCACTTCTTGCTTATGGTAAATAGCTGTAGGATAACACGACAACATTTTAGTTTCTCTTTACTCCGGGTATCCACAGAGGAGGGTATGAAAATAACCAGACTGGGAAAACCTACAGCAGAGGTTTAGACTCTTATTGTTATGATACATTATAGATAAGTTATGGCCATGATCAGGAAACAATGACTTGTGTAGGGGGTTTGCGACCTTAGAATCACATCCCCCATTTGCCGACATCTGTGCGCAGCACATCTTCCACGGTTACAGTATTTTTGAAATACATAAAAGGATGCACTGATGTTGATAGTATACATGTCTATCTCTATCAAAATATGTTAATGTATGTCTATGTTTATATCTATATATATATATATATATATATAGATATATCTCGTTGATTAATGTTTGGGTCGATATGCTCTGTTCTCTGTTCACCTTCAAATCCATAAATGCTAGTCAGTACTGTATACAGTTTCTAGCATTCATGTGTTGGCTGCTAAGTACATTAGGGTAAAATTAATGGCAAATAAGTAGTGTGGATTTGACATACTCTCTTAATACATAGAATAGAATAGTATTTGAGGATTTGAAGGTAACAGACTTGAAGATGTTGACAAAGCCGAAATTATTTTTCTGAAAGACTGCATGATGTTACAGATAATTCGGAGAGAGTTACCTTTTTCCATGACGTGAAATAGACTTCAAATTCTTTACGCCCACAATGTAAATATGTTGGCAAAGGTGCATCGTTGTTTGACAGCTTTGTCAACATCTTCTTATCCATACCTTTGAGAAAAAAAATGGTGAAAAAACTCCAATAAAGATCTTGATCCTTTGTATTACTGAGTCATGTAACAGATTTGCAGTTTCAGTTGCAAGAGGCAAAAATTTACATAAAATGTGTAAGTCCTAATCATAAGAGTTAATATAAAGTAATTTGTTGAGAATTTAAAACAGCTATGTTAATTCTTTCAAAAAACACAAATTCACAACAACCTCTGTTGCATCAGATATTATTAATTCTTAAGTATTTAATTTTTTTAATGAAAGGATATAATTTGATTCCTCAATGTTATAGTTCATGACTAGTTGAGTTAATTATTGTCTATTATCTTTTCATAAATTTACTTATTCACTTTAAATATTTGATCTTTTATATCATATTTAAGACAAAGCATAAAATACTTCAACATTCAATGCATCTCTTACAATTTCTATCGCCTTGTATGTTTCCCTCAAACTGTCTATGACTAAATCTTCATGATCTGTTTACTTTAATTTCCTATGAAAATATTGAATGAAATTCTCAAGAAAATTTAAAAAATCTCACAACATTATAAAATAAATATTGCAATTTTTAATAATATTACTTTATTATGATCGATATTAAATTACTAGTTTACATTATGTAAAAAGAAAAAAAAATTATATATATTTACATATATATTTACATATATATTTACATACACACTTATATGTGTTAGTGTATATGTTTTAAATTAATGTTTTAGCAAAATTTTGTACTAAAGAATTTTTTCTCATGATTATTATTTAAATTTTACTGTGATTGGTTTTAAGGTGTGTGTGTGTGTGTGTGTGTGTTTTTTTTATTTTATTTTTTATTTTTTATTTTTTTATTTTTAAAAATAAACATCATATGTAATATTAATCTAAATTATGATTTTTATCTATTCTTTAGAAAAACCATTTCTTAAACTTAATTTTTTAAAAAAGTGACATTATATTCCTTAAAAATACATTTCACGGTTAAATTCCATAAACTAATACATATTATATATTGAATTAACACTTATTGTCTCAGTTTTCCTCAAAAACTGCCACAACTATATGAAAAGCAAATCGATTTTTTAGATATATTTTGTAAGTTTTTCCATATTATTTTTGCAACAAATTTGAAATTCGAAGCCGAATACCAGTATAATTGTTTTTTAGTTATTTAAGCAAAACGTTCGTAGTTTGAACAGAATTATTAATTTTCCTTCTGCATTCCAAAAAATAATAATATCCACATTTAAGTAAATAGATAATAATAATATTATTAATAATAATAAGCAATTAGTTTCTGAAGTTAATATTTAGTAAATTTAGATTTATAAACATAACTGTAAGTAATAATAATAATAATAATCATAATGTTAATAAATACTAATTTCACACATGCAAGCATCGATGCTTATGCTTTTATTCCCAGTGTTTCTTCAACATTGATTACCTAAACAAGCAAAGTTTGGATAATCATCTGAAAACAAAAATTTCATATATCTTCCATAACATAGGTAAATGGCTTGTATGTACATGCAAAAGAAATAAAATAAATTATGTTTATGTACATGTATGTAAGCCCAGATTGCTTCCACCCACTTATCAGTCTCACCTATAAATGATCAAGTTACTCTAACTTAAGTACATGATACACTTCATAAGGGCTCCCGACCACTGAAAAGAGAACTGTGAAGAGCAGAATCTGGAAACTAATGAACACAGAGTCATACCTTTTTCAGCACACTGGAACCAATAATCCAAACAGAGACTCATTGATAGTAATTCTGCTTGTAAACACAGTAAATTGAGGGATGTCGATGACATGAGCAGGGTGTGTTATAAGTACGCCAGTGCTTCTTCATTCAGTTCAAGGCAACGATACACTACACTCTGCAGGCTGTCTATGGCGAGACCCATGTCGGCAGACATATCACCATCTTCCTCTCTCAGTTGCTGGCTTAACCCTTCCATAACCTCACGCAGAGGCAGCAACCACTGGGAGCGGGCTTTTGCCAAGTTCTCCTTTGATAAGACCCCTGTGTAGTTTGTCTTTCCTGAAACAATAGACAGCGTGTATATTATACCCTGGATGTTGCAGCACTAAGTTCATCGACTTTCTTTTCGGTCAGGTCTGAAACTGAAAGATGGTTCTCGTGCAGTGAAATCAAACTCATACCAAAGATTAATTTTGCGCTAAGTGAAAGTGTGGGTCGTAGACGAACCTGAGGATTCTCGAATGAGGATGAACCGGTACAGGTTGACAGCACTTTGCACCTGACCACACATCACAGATTGAAAGTCAATGCAGGGATCCAGAAAGTACAAATGAAGATATAATACTACATCAATGAAGGTTCAATTGGGCAGCAGTTAATAAGCAAAAAATTCTGAAAACCATTAGGAAATTAGCAGATGAGTGGAACATGAAAGTGCAAGTGAACATTGTCCCTTGTCTTGGGGACTTCATCTCTCGTCATTGGTTGGTTACAACCTTCGGAGTTTCATACCGCTATAGGGTAACATCCATTAGATACGGTCCATGGCTAAATTGCTTACAGGATCAATTTGGGCTGGTAAATCAGGAGGGGCCCCATTCTTCGGCCTCAACACACTTCCAATTACTTCAAGTATCTCTTCTTTGAGAAAATGAGATGCAGTATCTCTATCTTGTTGCTTTCCCCCTGCAAGATGTATAGCACTGTTCGGTTCACCTTGCTGCTGGGGATTACGAGGCCACGCTTTGACAACCTCGTCTTTCATACAGATCAAATGAAGTGAAACCTGCAGCAGACTTCATGGTTAGAGAAGTAGATCAGATGCATTTCACCACACAAGTCTGGCGTTCCGAAAGATGTAACCAACCCAAATGTACATACTCAGTGCTACCATTACTGGAACTATTGGTGAAATTCAGTGACCCCGGACGTGTTTCAAAATAAGAACCTTTATTCTGAGGTTGTTCTTTTCTAAGTTTTCGGTAAATGAGCCAAGGCGTGGAAATATTAACAGTCTGACCAGGGTTTCATTTGAATAACATTTACAAGGACTCATTAAGTAACGGCTGATGAGCAGTAGATTACAATTGGGAGTTAGAGTTAGCACGAGAAAAATCAGAGAGAAAAGCCACCGAGACGCCTAGGCAAGGATTACCAAAGATGGATAGATGCAATCATTGATAAGCTTTTGCAAACATTTGAATCTGGAGGTCTCTGGAAGTACATCTTCAATAACCTGTAATTGCATTGTACACAATTTGTACTTTAGAGTCAAATTTGTGCCGACATAGATCAAATGCATGCTGTAGAATATCTACTGCGAATACGCAAACTTTTACAAAACAAATCTTCGTCCACTACCACCTTCTTGCTCTTAAGTTTGGGACAATATATCCTTCAAGTTAGTCATGCCGCATACACAGAAACGCAGGATATAAGTAGGGAGACTCACTTTTTTGAAAAGAGCATAACCCTGGCGCCTCATCTCTATACTGGGTGCATAAACAACCACGTTTTGAAGACTCTGCAAGTCAAACTCATGCAATATAACAAGCTTCGTCAAGCACAGATACAGAACGTCACAAACTAGATTCAATTAGTGCCGAACACTTCTGCACGCTTCAACTGCAACGGTTACTGAGTGACCACAACACTACCATAATCACTTCTTTTGTCACAAATAACCCAGCAAAATAGAATCTAGATGATACTTAACCACTGGAACTGGTGATCATTCGCGGTTGTAAGCGGAAATACCAAAAAGAGATAAAAAAAGAACAAAATATAAAAGTAAAACTCTGACTACATGGACAAGCAATGACGCGATAAACCTGAAGTGCAGGCAAAATTCGCAAGGTCAAATCTAGATCGTCATCCTCCTCTTCATCAAAGGTACAAAACTCCAAAGAGGCCGCCAACTCAAGGACTTTATCAACAAGGGCCAATCCAGTTGCAGGCATTAATGACAAGGGTCTGTGTGAACTACTTCCTAAAAGTGACGTTGCAACGGATAGAGCAGCTACTATCCCTTTCCTCCCAGTGAACTGCAGGCCTTCTTTCAAAGAATCCAGGGTTATTTCAGCAGCTGCTGCTACCTGGGAAGTGGATAGAGCCCAGTAGGCTGTTCTGACCACAGTTAAGTAAGATCAGAATTAGCAATATGAAATAGCCTTGTAAATCGACAGCAAGAAGAATCTTAGATTTCTATCTTAAAGCTAGATGAAGTCAAAAAAAGAAAGTTCAAATATTGCTCCTCGAAAACTTGATTGTTTCACTAGGACGAGTGTGAAACGAATGTCTACAAATCTCTTCTGAAAGTTTTTAATGAACTGCATTTCTTGATAAGAACCTACTCTTTTAACTACAAGTTGAACTCATACTTGTCGAATAGCATTATCCACATTAGAATCATAGGCAATGCTCTACATAGTCACATGTATGCAACAGTTCACAAGAACATGTGGGTTTTCATTTGCTAAAAGAGTGAAAGTTAACATCGGTAGGATAGGAACTGCAATCATTATGGAAGAGCTAACCTGCAAGCGCGGATCCTTTTGTGGCTTCTAATTTCTTCTGATCCACCTGAGCCAACTCGTCACCACACCCTGTCACATCTGAAATGATAACATGGCATTAGTTTGACAAATTATTCAGAAGTTGAATTTCTGCATTTCAGCCATTGCAGGATTACTGCTCAAATTCTATGACAGTAAGATACTTGTCGTCGTCTCAAATTTGAACAATTAGAAACTGACGGTATATCATTGACCGAAAGCTAAGATGCAGCATTCGGAAATAATAGTTTATAACTCGTGAAGTTTGGCATCCAGTTTCTCGGAGATTTCTCATACTACGTCAACTGCAGGGTACGGCCAAGAAGCAGCCAAAGAAACTCTTCAGCAGAACTAAGTCACTATGTCAAAGAGGAGAATGCTTACCATTGGTTGTTATCTCAATAACAGCTTTGATCTGGTCCCCTGTGAGCAGTAGAAGCACAGAAAGACCACAAAAGGGCAGAAGCTCAACAAGCTGTATCACCACAGGTGGAACTTCCTTTCCTGAGTGTGCAATCTTTTCCCCTACGATACCCTGCAATGACGTGGTATACAAAATGTGAGTAAAGAAAGAAAGACATCACTACCTAAAGGCATACACCAAGATGAGATTTACAGGCGTATGGGCAGATGAATCAATATGCAGTAGAGGGAACCACAACTGTAAGGGTCAAGACAGACGCATCCGTAACAGCTTTCGGGAGTGGGAACAATGATTACATACCAGTATCTGAAGTACAAACATTCCAAGTTGCTGTTGAAACGCCTCTCTATGTTCGTCAAACTGCAGCTCTTCCAAATCTTGAGCACGTGTAAGAGACTCGCCCACTTGTCAAAATTATTAGTCTAGAGCTGTAGAGCTTACGAGATAAAGTTTATTTTAGATGCAAAGAATATGTTGAAAGATGGAACGATCCATAACGGGTGCATGAAACAATGCTTGCAGAATTGAACTACTGGGCACTTACAATACCTAGATAGCATTCAGTGCGAGGGTAAGAGACAATCCCTTTTTCATGAACTAATTGATCTGACATCTTTAAATGTAAACCTTACATGTACAGCGTCGCAAGTTTCTCTCACAACTTGGGCAACTTCCACAATATCGTCCAAAATTGCTGCATGAACTTGCTTCAGGGGTATTTCCATACCCGGAACGAACTCTTCGTCTTCTTCTTCTTCGTCATCATCATCAACGTGCGCAGCTGAGCGCAAAAGTGTAAGAAGCCCTTCACTCGCCTCCTGGAAAAATTGAGCCTGTCGCCTCTGAAGGCGTGAGAACACTGCACAATGCCGGAAAAAAGTTCAAAATATAGCCACTGGAGTATGCTGCAAGTCGAGGTCATGCTTAGGCCCTAAGTCACAAAATCATTTACAATCAAACCTAATGAAAGTAATTGAATCCAAAGACTTTCCACAGCTTACCAATGGGAATTTACTCACCCAAAGAGAGTCCCTGTATGAGAGGAATACAGTAGATCAAAGTCAGAGGCGTTGTGTACATGTTCAAGGCCTGCAAAGATACTCAAAGATTTAGACATTTGTACAACCACGTCCTGTCATATAATCAACATTTTAGAAGATTAGTTTGAGGTTCTCATTTGGATAATAGACTGTCATTGAGGACATATGTAGACTATCGTATTGAATTTGGGAGTGACATTTCATGAGCATAACATACGACCCTAAACTAAATCCTAAACTATCAAGCGCGACTGAGTGTTTAAGAAATACCTCCATGAAAGCTGCGAACATTTCACGTGGGCTGCAATTTTCAGCCAAAATCTCGATGATGCTAAGACTGTGATCCTGGCAAGCCTGAGACAGGCTGACGAACTTCACAACCACCTTTGGAAGATCCAATCCTACTCTCTCACACAAGACTCGTTTTTCTTCAGAAATCGTTTGGACGGTCGATCCAGAGGCGAGAAAAGCAGGCGGCTGCAAAAATAGTAAGTCAATGAAATCGTTAAGACTCGAAGACGGTGTAAGGCTGTTGAAATATTATAAAGAATGCCTCCTTGTCCAACTAAAAGTATTACAAAATTTTAATCACCAATACTGTAGCCGATTACCAAGCCAGAAAGTGAAGATGGATCCAATAACTTCACAGCTTGCTGCAGCACTTGGTCGCACTGAGCAAGCCAATTCGCAGGTGATGATTTGCGGAGCTCCAGATCATGGAGTGGGCTCTCTAGCAGATCCAAAAACTCCCGAGCCGAACGCTCTGAGTCCTCAATTTGCTCATCCTGCCTCACCCCAGGGAGAACATGGGTACAGAAGAAAAATCAGCTGATCACAATCTGTCTACCAGAAACTCCTCGCGAGCAATAATCAAATTCAAGAGCCAATTTCGGATCACAATCGCAGGTCAAAATATTCTAGGACTCCTTAGTTGACTGGAGAAGCGATTGAAAAATCTCAACAGTGCCAAAATTCGAAACAAGACAGGCGAGAGAAAATTACCTGGCAGCAGCGAAGAGCAGCGTCAGATAGTCGTTCCAAGAGAGGTGCCGCCATTACGCGACGACACAACAACTCGGACTTACGCTCAACTTCGCCAAAAAATATGATCAACAAGAAATCACAAACCAAAAATTCATACTGTATAGAAAGGATAAAGACAAAGACAGAGAGAGAGACATGAGCAGATCATGGAATGGGACAGCATGAAATTGACAAACGCAAAGCGATGCGTCGAAGTCCAACCTTTTCAACCAAAATGCGTTAGCGAGAGAGTTCCAACTTTGAAGCAAACCTTTGAAAGGCAAAGTGAGGCTCCCTGCGATAGACTATCAGCCCACAAAGGTGGAGACCTTTTGGACTTTGGGAATTAAGGACTTGGAAGTCGACAGACACAAGATCTCCACCCTTCCCCTGCTCCTCCTTACACAGTAAAATCTGCGTTCCGATGCCTCGAATTATTCAAAAGAATTCGGGAGTAACACAAGATTGCGGGGGTTCCGTGCGGGGGTTCCGAACTCCGATCCCAGAAGATGAAAGGCACAGTCAGAAATTGGAACAGAGAATTAAAAATTCGGTGAATGGGGTCAAAGTGGCTGACAAGCAAGCTGGCATGGCTGGCATGTAGTGATGGGAGTTTTAGGGGATCATCCATCTGAATGGCTACTGTAGGTTTCTTAGCTTTGCCTAGCTGGGATTCCGAGCTAGTGTCGCCATTGCAAGGACGACAACAACAGCAGCGCAGGGGACCTCGGGCCGAGACGTGGCAGGAGACGCTCCGGAGAATCAGCGGAGACTCACTACCCTATCATTCCAGAATTTACAAAATTAGCAAATACCAGCTCGATTGTGCCAGACGATTGCTCTCAGTGTTGGTGTGTTAGTTGCCATTGTCCATCAATTTGGGTCATCTTCTTCACTGGATGGGTGTCAGTGGTCCGTCTGTCCAAACCCAACCTCAGGCTCTGCATGTCTCTCCTCTCCTCCTCCTGTCCCTCTGTTCAGCTTGCTTTCGCTTCGTGAGCATCATCATCCATCTTGTCTATCTCTTCCGTCCCGTCCGTCTCCTACGCCTCATTCGTCTGTTTCCATTGTAGCAGGGTTGCACTAATCACGCACCAGCAACCTCATCAACCTTCAACACTCATCAGCACCGGAGGACGAGCCAGAGATCCCGCACTCTACGACCTCTCCCGTCAGGACGCTAGTCTACAGCTTCTTCCCCCACATCGCTCCGGTTTTTGCCTAGATTAATCTTCTTGGAAACTGAAGTTCGCCGTCGTGGGTCTCTGCCCTCCTTCGGTCGCGGTGTGTGTGTGTGTGTTTTTTGTTTTTTTGTTTGTTTGTTTTTTTCCAGCTTTTGCTTTCAGGGGCTCTGCACTGCAATGGGTTTTCCTTGAAACCCACTTTATCCACCACATATCATATTCCTTTGGTTTTCTCCGGCACCTCTCTTGTTTGCAACCTACTCCCCAGGTGTAAACTTCTCTCCCTCTCCATCACCTTCACTTTCTCTCTGCTGCAAAGTCAGTCTCTCGTGTATATTTCCTTAAAGATTTTTGAGTGAATCTAAGTTGTACGCTAGGGTTGGGATGCTTGCAACTTGACGCCCTTCATTCTTTTTCACTATCTCTCTTTTCTGAGGTCCGGATTCTACTTTCTTTCGATCGCGGATGGTACTATTCCCATTTGCACTGTCTCTCTCGCTATCTGGAACCACAGCCTTTCTGGATTTTAGTGTGGATAGCGTTCAGCATCTGGGGTTTTTATTGTTTCGCCTTCGAGTCCCGTGTTGTGACGTCGATGCCTTTCACCAATTTATTTTCGACTGGACGTCTCCGGAGACGTTGTTGCTCGAGGTGCTAGAACCGTTGAGGTGGTCTTGGCTGTCCTTCGTAGAATTCTCCCTCGCCTCAGGGTCTGGGGAACGTAAACCAGATTTCTGTGATACGTGTCTGTGTAGTATCCCTTCTGCCTGCGTCGAGTGGTGTGTCTTTCTCTTCCTACAATCTTAAACTTACCACTGGGTTCACTTAGAGCGTTGAAATTCTGTGCCGAATGCAATCTTTGAGCTGATTCTTTATGGGGCACTCGCCATAGTCTGCACCGCTTTGCGAAATTGTCGTGTGTTGGAACCATTTCACCTAAATTAGACTGTATCACGAAACGGTGGTCTTCTTGATTCACAACGGTCGTTCCCGCTTTTTTCTCTTAGCATGTTTAGTTTTCACTAAAGTTATCACACCATGAATCAACCCACACCTTTTCCCCTCCGCATTCGCCTTCAGTTTGTGATCCAGAACTTGAAATAATAAACAAGCTGGCAGTTTTTAGTTCTATATTGCCTAAACCGACCTCGATGTAGGTCCCGTTCATTATATTAGAGGTTTTAGTTTGTTATTACATTATGAATTGCTTCTTGTAGAGGCTTGATTCGTCTAGTGACAGAGTGTGGGTGTGGCACTTCATGGTTTGACTAGTTTAGCATCTTTGGTACCGAATGTAGTGATTTTTTCCTGTTCTCTAGTATATGATTTTTTTTAATCCAAAGCTCATCCACAAGCCAATACTTTAGTGGTTGGGAGAGCTGGATGCGTACATTTTGGTATGAGGCGCTTTGGAATCTTGGAAAACTGTGCCCTGTGATATTAAAACTGTGATATATAATACTATCACCCTGTGAGGCTCTGGAATAAAGAAGAAAGATCTCGTACTGCCAGGTGTACACGCCAATTCGAAGAAAGACCTGATTGTATCCCGTAGGATTACCTGGGAGTTTCACCCACCCAGAACTGCACTACACTATTGGCTCAGACTGGAATTTTTAGCGAACCCTCCCAAGCTTCACGTGGCTTTTTGTTACTTAAGCAGACTGATCTGAAGTAGGAAGTCCGTGGATCTACCTTGTCTGATCCAAATGTTGGATTTATGGGTCGCTCACAGCCAAGGAGAACTTTTAGGTGGTCCTTTAAGTACTTGTTGTAAATGATTGACTGACAGGTTTATGAATTGCCTACATTCTAACCATGTGGAGTAATTTTTATGCTAAACAGAACTGGCTGCCTGTCTACATTAGGACGATGGAGAAACTTGCACCTGCAAGGTGTGCGTTTCTCTTGATTCTGGCCCTCGTCGTTCTTCCATCTGTGCAAGGTACGGAAAGATTGTAAATGTAGAAGTTTTTCTTGACTAATAGTGTGTTAGATTTTGCTTCACTTCGTTTTGGATGCGTTTTAACGAAATTGACCCATTTAGAGATTTCTCCGTGTGAAGTTATGTAAATTAAGATAGTGGAGAGAATTATTGGGTTGTGATCTTACAGATCAATTTGATTCTCTGCAACTGTAAATGTATACATGGATCAATCTCTGAAAGGTTCCCATTATTGTGTGATACAGGTGTGGAGAAGGTGAAAGTTGAGTTGTACTCTGAGGCACTATGTCCGTATTGCGCCGATTTCATTATCAATTATCTGAATCCATTTTTCAACAACGGATTAATTGACATTGTGGAGCTTCGCATTATCCCCTACGGAAATGCTCGCGTTTTAGATGGGTCCTTGATTTGCCAAGTAAGATTATGCCGTTGAAATTTAGTGGTCTGAACTCCTTGTTCCTAGTTTGTGTAATCTTGATGTTGATCTTCATTTTATTTTCTATTTTAATTTTTTATATCTTATATTTTGATATCACTGCGTGATTGTTTGCTAATCCTCCTCACAACTGATATTGAATGGTGTTGCAGCATGGGCCGGATGAGTGCGAACTCAACATCATTCAGACGTGTGCTATTCGACTGTGGCCTAAAGTGGTCAGTCATCTGTCTAATACTCTGCTTTGGTTACTGCAATAATTTTCTCTAATCTTAGTAGGAGTCAGCGAATTAAAGTGCGCTAGTTGCAATATTCCGCCAACCACTTTATGTCCTAGTTGCTGGGCGGGAACGAGTGCGTTGAACTTCGAGTAGTTTCTCTGAATGAGACCTTTAAGGTTTGCCGCAGGTGCCTGGAATTTTTAATCTCTAGAGTGATGTACAGTAGTGATGCATTACAAACCAGTTGTCAGGTCTTCTGCCTTAAATGGAGCCGTAGTTGATGTAATAAATTTACTATTACCATATTTATGGGTTTGTTGTTTGAAAGAGTACAGCGCTATCGCTAATGTGAAAGCATCTACACTTCAGACCTTATACTTAAGATGCTCAATTTGGTGCAGATACTTGCCATACGCACCAGTTGTCAATCTTAGAATAACATCGCTTACATTGGTGTTCATGTTGTGCCAGACGGATTGGTTCCCCTTCATCTACTGCTTGGAGACTCTTGACAGGAGAACAGCAGCTAAGAACTGGAAATCATGTGTACATCCATCACGCCTTGACCTCGAACCTCTTATTGAGTGCTCTGCTACCCCCCTCGGTGCAAAGGTAACTGGCCTGCATATATCTCTCGTAATTGTATTTGGTGAATTGTCGCAGTTGGCCGAGGAGGACATACTTTTGTGTTTCATTTGGTTTTAGTCTGAGATAGTGATGTCATTCGGACGCAGTGAAAACATCGTTTTGGTCACTCGTTTGGCAAAACACCAATGTAAGCGATGTACTTGTTCTATGTTGGAATCTCGGATTAGGTGCAGATTGTAATATGGGTATGTTTTGAAAGCAGTTTTAATTTCTATAATAAGCATGTGTCCTTGTGAACTGGCAGCTGGAAATGGAGTTTGCTGCCGAGACCGACAGGTTGCAACCACCACACAAGTATGTTCCATGGGTGCTTGTAAATGGCGAGCCTTTGATGGACGTAAGTCACGATATCTGCGTCTCTCTGCATATGCTGCTTTTTCATTTCGGAGGTTGTTTTAGAAGACCTAATGCGTTGTAACGCCTCGTCTCTTTCTGATTTCGACTTGCTTGTGGATATCCATGAGCTACTTGTGAAGTTCTGAACGGTAATACTGATTGAAAGTCGGTCTGTTCTTGTTTTCTAGATTTGAATTCATTCCTCACTATCTTGCTCTTTGGTTAGTCTCCTACCGTATTGACACTCACAGCATCTCACTCACGAAGAGAGTTCATATGTTTCAGAATTATGAGGATGTGGCTTCGTATGTATGCAAAGCATACCAAGGAAACAAGCCTGCTGTATGCTCAAGGCTGGAGCACGAGACTATAAAAACCCAACCAGCTGGACTGTGTGTGAGAGAGTATGTGTCACAGGCGTCATACTAAATCACCATCATTATCACCCAGCCACTGTGCCTCGTCCATAAGCTAAGTTCTGAAGGGATGCTGGGCTAACGAATGGTACATTATCTTTAAATGGTTTAGGTGTTTCTTAGTATTATTCTTCTTTTACCTTAAGATTCTTTACATAAACACATCGTCATGCTTTGGATTGCAATAGGGATTGATACACAGTAGCAGTGTATATGTGCAAAGAGACAAGAGCTTTCTTGTAGAGATACCTTTAGTTGAGTGATGTTTGAGTTGCTGACGGGCAGGCCCAACACTTTCTCATGCTTGAAATTGTGGGCTAGGATGTGATGAGGTTGTCCCAAAGTTGAGGATGTAAGCTTGGAGTCGTTGCTATGAATGTGATATACATATATTGTACCTTGTTTGTCCTGGACTTTGGACACTCTTTGTCCAACTCTTTTGAGCTGCATTTGAGTCAAGCCATAGGGGTCTTGCGGGAGAAGATGCACATTACTAAATTTTTTGATGCAGCATGTAACACTTTTGAGATTTACCCGGCATTCGAAGTTGCCTAATCCTGCACTTGAGCTTTACAACCAAACTGTTTGATCTAGCTCAGTAATCATATCGGTATTAATTTTAGGGTCTCATTTTATTGAAACTTGGTTGATTAATGTTATGATGTAATTGTAGCTATTGATGGAAGCTTTTGAACTACGGTTTTGGTTCCCGCATGGTATTGAAACACGTTAAGAAATGTGGATTCAGCACGAATTTTAGCATGGAAACTCAAATAAACCAAGTGGTGGCCTGACAAATGTACACAGGTGGGATTGGTGCAGTTGGGTTATGATGTTGGATTTAATCAGGAGAAATAAGAGTCTCATATGAAGCTGTTAACATAGTATTTTGAAGTGTGTACTTTTAGCACACATTGGTGTTAGCTATAGTTAGAATTTCATGAAATTGTCCAAAGTCCAGGACAATTTAACGTTTATGAATGATCTTAACCAGGTTTCAGCTTTATTAATGAAGAACAACAATTGTAGCAAACTTCTGACTATTTTATTAGGCATCAAATTCTGACTATTACATCAGAAAGTAGATGTTACTTTGGTTTGTACCATTTCGTCAATTTTGAATCACAATTTTGCCCACAATCAACATTTCTGTGAAAGAAAAATAACTTTTGTAATGCAATGTACCTGTTATTCTCATTTGTGGTATATCTAATTTTCCGTTGAGAATGTGCACAAGTTTTATAAACCTTGAAAATTGGATCATCTCATTGAAATTTATGTGACATGAATCTAATTTTCTCATGATTTCTCCCATGTTCCCAATTCAATTAACAGATCATCTCAGTTTCAAAATTGAAGCATGAGGGCTTTTAGAAATACTGGGATCTAGTCAAGACAATCCTATTGAAGAAACCGTATGTGAAGAAACCGTATGTGGAGATGTGGGGTATCAATCCCGGTACCTCTTGCATTCTAAGCTCTACCAAGAAGTCCCCACCGAAGTTGTGCAAAAATCTCAGATCTATGTGCTGCAGCACTGGTTTACATGGCCATTCGTCATATCTTGACAAATCCTAGATTCCACTTGGCAAGGGTTTTATCATACTTCTTCTCCATGCAGTTGTGTTGTACTTTTTGAATGAGAGCTTGTACCACATTGAGCTTGTCTCTCGCTTCTTGGCTAAACCAATTTTCTTATAGGTCGTGCTTGGCTTTGTAGATTTTGTCAAAATGTGCTTCAAATTGTGTTTCTTAATTTAGCTTTTGTTTCTTTGTCTCCATGTTGTTGTGGCATTTGATAGTTGCTACTACTCTTGCAATGTGCAAGTTCTATGATCTATGTTCACTTTCTGTAATTGCTGATTTCTATACTGTGAGGATAACAACCTTTGTCTCTTTGATTTTAAGTAAATGCCTATTGAAGAAGAGGGTTTTGATGAAGTTGTTTTCCATTCTCTTTCATTTCAAAAACGTCGCAACATGATCTAAAATGTGAGATAATGCCCATAAGGTAATTTATTCCTAGAGTTGCAAGAAAGTGGAGGTGACATAGATCCGATCAAGTCATGTGCATATCATTTCTTGCTGCCTCATTGACTATCTTATGAAAATTGTTTTGTGGTGACCTTGCAATATACATCCATCTTGTAACTATTGTAAAGTTTGAGATATACTATCAAATCATTTCATATCTCAATTTCACATTATCTTCTTCTTGTCGTTTTGTTTATGTTTAGTCAATCATGTTGAAGTTCCTTGCAATGATCCTTCAACTTCTAGAAGATTGAAGTTCCTGATATTTTGCCATAATGGGGCCCTATACCTTGTGTAGTTAAATGCATGTATATTAATAATATCTATTTTATGTGCTCTTGTTTATTAGATGATTATACATTATGTCATATTCATTTCTATGATAACATGCTTACTAATTCTCTGTATTATGTATTAGTTATTAAGTATTGTTGTTCCTTCTAGAAATCTATCTTTATTCCTAAGTAGATTGTCTTATTTCATAGTGATAATTCTTTTAGGAAGTCAAGGTGTTGTGTTTTTTCCAAATCCTCCTCCAACAAAAAAGTATACTCATGTAATAATATTATGTCTAGTCTAGAATTTGATTTTCTAAAGATTTCTATAATTTTGCATTTCTTTCTCATGTTTGTCATGTTTTTATTCACACATTGCATGTTAAGTGTGGCCAAGGCCATATTGTCATTTAACATCATATTAATCTAGCTTTGAGGGACTAAAGATTCCTTATTGCATGTTATTAGGGCAACTACCTTCCAATGTGTATATTTCAATTGATCTTTCCTGGACTAATTTGAATGGTTGTTTATCAAAGAAGAAGTATTGATCGTTTTTAGTAAGCATCAAGTCCATCATTCTATTCTCTAGGTATATTATAAGTATATTGTTGATGTGTTTTGGTATTGGAATCGATTTGTAGATTGTAAAAGGCTTTACTTTGTAAATTATTGTATCATACTCTATCATGGCCAAAATGTAATACATCAATGTTGGTGCAAATATAATCTGTTAATCATAAAACCACTTTGTATTGCTAAAGTTTTATAATAGATTGTAATCTTTGATTTTCAAGAATATATGAGGCTTTAGATGTATGATGGTTTCATTAACTATGTACTTCTAGGCATCTTTTCTATTCTATCTATTTTCATATCATTCCTATATAACAAAAAAACTTCTATCAATTTTTTTTGTTCAAATGTGATCTATTAATGTCTCATATTTTAATTTTGATTTGCAATGCAAAATTAGAATAATTTTTGCAAGTTACACTAAAAAATCTAGAAATACATTTACAAATGCTAAGATTTTCTAAAAGGTTACTCTAATCATATTAATTTTGTATTATTATCATTCTACTCTTAAAATTGGATTTCTATTAGTATTACCTTTCTTTACTAGTTGCTAAATAAATTTAGATGATTCATATCCTATGTTTTTTGATTTTTATAATCTAGATGTTTGTATGTTCCTATAGTATTGTATGCCTTTCTTTTGTACAGTGGTTGATTTGTATTTTTTGGTATTGATAAGTAATTTGGTCCTTTTGCCAACTAAGCAGTATTTATTTGTCTTTTGTTGAGTGGACAAAAGTTGACTATATATTTTATAGAGCGGTACCTAGTGTATTACAAGGGATAGCCATTGTATTCTATATTATATAAGATTTAACTTTTTTCATCTAGTCTATCTCATACTATTTATTTAAATTAATTTTTTAATTTTTTAATTAGGATCCAATACCATATACTCTTTGGTTTTCTCTAATATATTTTTAAAGTACTTTGTGGTTTTATTTTCTAATGTGATCTTGAATAGATGTCTAATTGTGTCTTCTTTATTAGTATACATTTTTGTATATAATTTTGGTATTGCCTTTGATATCACAAGATATTGTCTTCTTCAATGAATCAAAGATCTATTGTTTTCTTTCCCATTTATCTATTTATTATATTATCAAGAAAAGATATTATTTTATTCTCAATTTGGCTTGCTTTTTTATATGATAATGTCAAGGATATGAACATCAAAGAAATAAAATGTCAATATAGTCTTTTGTCACTTAGAAAGATTAAAAAATCACTCAAAGATGATATAATATTAAATTAGAATGGCTATTGCCAAAGACATGAAGACTAAAAAGTCTTAAAACATGACTAAGGACTAAAAAGGCATTATTAAGAGTGAAGAAGGCTTCACTCTTGCCTCCATATATACTTATAACTAGGAGCTATGTGGCAATGTCCTATAAGACTTCCAGAACGTGTTGCCTTTGTAAGACACGTATCTTAAGTTGCAAAGTAAGTGTTTTTTTATTTATACACCACATAATTAACTTGTTCCACAAGCTATCAACATAAGATTAACTTTTTGACTAAGATTTTATCCTATCAATTAACTATAAATATATAAAAAATCAAAGTTGTCTCTATGAAGCTTTTAAGAAGTTTTTTTTTTAAAATATTATGAAATAAATTTACTTTTATCTACTTCTATTTAATCATATAGATAAATATTAAAATAAATACATATTTTTTTCATATTATTCTTCTTTTTAGGAATAAATTCTATAAATAGAAATCATTATTTATTGAAAAAATCTAAGATTTGACAAATTGACTTTGCCACATATTCTAATTTTTTTTTTCTTTAAAGATGATTGATAGATCCTCTCAACCATTGATAGTATCTCATACTAGGGTAAGAGACTATCTTATTATTTGATTGTTGTTGAGGCCTTTATAACTCTTTTTAAATAAAAAATTTGAAACACTATCAAGAATTCTTCTTACCTCTAATAAAATCACTAAACATTGGAAGCCTCTTTCAAGGTTGTGATACTAAAAATATTATATCTTGCCATCTTTTTGAAGAAGAACATGTCATTTTTAAGAATCTTCATCTTAATTATGTTGTCTTGAAGGTTGTAACATTTATAATGTCTTATTTGATAAATCAATAAGTGATAGTTTTTGAGTTGAATCTACAAATTATTGGTTTTCCATCTCTTTAATATCACAAATACATAAAATTTACAAACAAAAGTAAAAGATAGAATGCTATCTTTTCTAAATCTTTTTTTTTTTATAGCAAAGATTTGTTATTCTTCATCTTAATTTTGATAGATGTCATCAATAGAAAGCTTCAACTTTCTTTGTTATATTTATAAGTTTCTTTATTAATTCTTATGTGTATTCATTAATATCATATTTATATTAATAGATAAGATATTTTAATCTATTTTAGTGTCGCCTTGAATCTAAAACTTCTTCTATCTTGAATTCTTAATTATTATCTGCTTTCATAGAAGAATGTGACATTTGTCTTTTTTTTGAAATATTTACTATCTTATATGGCTCAAGAAGAGACA